CCTGGATGATGGGAACGATGTTCGTGGATCGTCAGACTCTGCAGTAGCTAGCACTCCAGAAGCTGAACCTCTGTCCAAGCGGGCCTTGAAGAGGGCAATGTTTGGCGTCAACCGCAGAAGCGGCGGTAGGAAACATAAGAAGAAAGGGACGGTAAAAACCGATCCCTACTTGACCTGAAAAAAAAACTTGTTGCCAAGCTGGCTGCCAGTTAGTGCTTAAGTCACCTCACTGCTGCGTTGTTGTGTGGTCGGTCTTAACTCGGTTTCCAAAACGCAGTCGCAGGCTCAAAACTCTGAGGGAGGTCGGGACGCTCTGTTTGTTGCAGAACCATGACAGGGCGCGACCAGAAGCTCACGAGGCCTGAGACGCCGCCGCGTCCAGCGTTTCCTGGTGCCACTCCTTGTGTTCGTCCACTTGCTCCACCTGCTCCACCCGCTCCAGTGACAACAGTTCCAAGGTACGAGCACCATCGAGACCGCGCTGAGAAGAAGCGCGAGCACAGCAAAGACGACGAGGACGGACTCGTCGTCGTCGTCGTCGCCACCATACTCACCGGGAAGCCAATGACACCGCTGCTGCTGCCTCAGGGCACCAAGATGTTGAACGCCGTGCTTCTAAGGGCCGCTGCAAAGAAGATGCTGCTGCCTCAGGGCACCGAGATGGTGAACGCCGTCGCTGCAAAGAAGAAGGCGCAAGGAAGATGAGCACTGAGCCAGAGCCAGAGAAGGTCGCCACGGGGTCATCTTCAAAGCGCAAGGAGAAGAGCACCAGCAACTCCTCCTCGGCGGAGGAATCCGAGGACAGCAAGGAGACCATCGTCGAAGAGCCTTGGCCGCCAGCAGTTGCACCGCGCAAGAAGACTAAGACCACGGTGGAGACGAAGGACAAGCTCGCGGAGGCTCGTGTGGCCATTGCTGGCCGTGTGGACGACCTTGGTGCCAAGGCGGTGGCGTTCAGCAAGGCGCTTGTGCGAGGAACGCAGGCGCTCAGGACTGCTGCGCGCATCGCACGAGAGGCTGCGATGAGTTTCGAGTCTGAGATGGAAAATTTCATCCAGGCTCAGCGTGACATTAATCGCACCTTCAACATCCAGGAGTGACGAAATTTAAGTGGTGAGAAAAAATGCTGAACACCGGGGCGGGTGGTTGGGGAAACATGCGGGCCAGTCAAACTAACATGTCTGATCTCACATGTCCATATTTCGCAATTCTGTGTGAACTTACCTACTGAGTAGACACTTAGGAAGTCGTAGACACTTTGGAAGTAAGTAGGACAGAAACCGGGCGTCTTGTGTACCTTCACGTTCTCGCGTTGTGATGTTTTTTGTTTTTTTTGGCTTAAGTATAGCAGCTCATGGGGAAATGCGTTGCTAACAGTAAGCCGGCAGTTAAGCTTTGGAGCCATGGTCGTGCGCAACGACACTTGAAGCAATGCCAAGTTCAGACATGCAATAAGTGCTGGTGGGTAGCCAAAGGTCGGAAGTGGGCGGTTTTCTTCCCTTGGCTGCGCTTCGGTGAGTGTTTGGAGCGTCGTCGTCCTGGCCATGGTTTTGGATGCTCTGCTTGTGCTCAGTTTCAACATTTGAGACGGAATGGTTCTGTCTTTGCAGTTGCTCAGCGACCTATTGCCACTCCCTGCCGCACATTCCGGGAATCAGAGGTTGAGAGGTTGACGCTGGTGCAACTGACTTCGACAGCTTCACTGTTCAAACCCGGCCAAAGGCTTTCCACCTCAAGCGGCACCAGGCAAGCCAGAAGCACCAGCAGGCAGTGTCTTTTCTGCAGGGTTTCATCACTGAGGACGATCTCTCCTTGGCGCCGTCTGTTCAAGAATGCCAAGCAACTTTGGCAGCTATGCGCAAAGGACAGTCAAGCAGAGATGGAGGCACTTGCAGTGACAGAGCAATTTTTTTGCGCTGGTGCTTGTCGGAAAGTTTGTTGAGTATATGGAGACGAGAACTAGCTGCTGCCCGGACACTTTGCCTCATTCGCGACGAGCGAAAAGGCAAACTGCTGATTCGCTTCCGCGGTTGCAGCGGGCAGTTGACACTCTGCAATGGAACCTTTGGCTGTGTGCGCATGAAAGGTGGAAGTGCGGAAGATATAGTGACTGCCACTGCCAAGGCCATGCGTGTGTTTTGCACAGCTTGTTTTCAGCCACCTCGTTTGGGAAAACGGTTGCAGAGAGAGGGCGGCTTCGACAAACAGTTGTTTGCTCATCTGAGAATATTACGCACATACTGACAACAGACAGTCACCCTGCCGAGCTCCTTGCATCCAACATCATGAAGGGAAACCGCCAGAGCGCTGATGACGCTCACAACAGGACCCCCTTCTTGCCGAACGTTGTTCTTGTGGGCCGAGATGCAGCGCATGCTTCGACAAGATTGGTCAAGAGACCTTGGGCCTGTATACCTGCCATACAGGACATAGGAGACAGATCAGCCAACACTTAGAAATAGCAAACATTAAAATTAATTAGGAATTAAATAAACATGGCAGTTTGTCATTATTTTAAAAATTCAGACCACCTACATGCTTCATTGTCTTGATCCCTAATTTCAGGACGTGTTTGGTTGCACAGTGCGAAATGCCGACTCCCCCGTGCAGAAGATCTTCAACTCCCACATTTTCAGTCGATGGTTTGAGGATGACGTGAAGCAACTCCAATGGCCCTCGGTGCGCAAGTCTTTCGGCAGCAAAACATAGGTTCGCCAGTTTTGCTAAACCTATGGGAAGGATGCTGCTTCATGTGGAAAGTTTTTTCCGCACTTTGCATAGAGCGGCAGCGATGCGAGACGATGCACCGTGGGCCCGTGCATGGCTCAGCAATACCTCGTCCAAAAAACTACTTTTACTCGCCTTGGCTGCAGATGGAGCCGACACACTGATGCAGTTGTGTCGCTTCTTCGACAATGAGTCCTGCGATCCCGCGGCTTTGAATCAAGAGATCGGCTTCTTCCTGGCAGAGTTAGATGTACAATTTCGAAAAGGCAAAGTGTGGCAGATTGATGGGTACTCGAAACATGTCTTGGATGTGTTGCAGCGGGGGAAGCTCTACACCATCGCTGGGGGAAAAGGGACGCAAATGACGGTCAGTGAAACAGTCAAACGCCAAGCTCTGGGAGAGTTTCAAGCCTGGTTACCCTTGTGCGAAGCAACTGTCCGAGCGGAGTTTCCCGACTTCGAAGTCTTGAATTCCATGTGTGTCTTCAATTCCCAGAGTACGCCTTATTGAAAAGATTCAATATAGTTATTGAAATTTGATCCATATATTGAAATGAAGGGTTTATTGAAAATTACAATATAGATATTGAAATTTATTTCAACAGAGGTAACATCAAAATTTCAACATACCATATTGAAAAAAACAACAATATCATGTTGAAATTGATGTTGAAACATGTTTCAACATATGTGGAAAATGCTGTTTCAATAAGGTGAAATGGCTGTTCTCAATCTGTTGCAAATTGGCTGAGTTTCAAACTGCTTTCTTTTCAAATGGCCATGCAACAAACAGTGGCAGCAGAAGTTGGTCTCCCTGGAACCTAGCTTTTTGGCCCAAGCTCCTGAGTCGCCTTTTTTTAAGCCTTGAAAAAGGGCAGTGCCTTGAAAAGGGCATTGCCTTGAAGAAGGGCCATGGAGGAAGAGCAAAACATTGATGAAGCACAGCTGGATGTTTTAGACATGCTGATGAGACCCCCTCTTCCTGGGACCATGCAAGAGGCCATGGCCTACTGGGAGTACTTGGACTGCCAGACTGTGTCCTGTGATGCCTGGCTGTGGAGGAGGAACCTGGGCAAACCAGACTGGGGGATTAGGTGCTGGAAATGTGGAAGGGAATGGAGAGACACCTTCCAAAGAAGTGGGTCCTATTTTAAATATTGGAACCCAATAGACAAATGTCCAGCTAGGTGAAATTGCCTTGAAAAAGGGCATTGAAATTGCTTTGAAAAAAGGCATTGAAATTGCCTAGAAAAAGGGCTGTAAAATTGCCTTGAAAAAGGGCTGTAAAATTGCCTTGACAAAGGGCTGTAAAATTGCCTTGAAAAGGGCATAGATTGGAGACAGCTGCTGAAAAAGGGAAGAAAAGCTAGCAAGCTGACATGTAAGAACAGTGTGGCATTGAAACACAGCACTGGGCAGGGCAATTGGTGTGCAGTGTCAGGCTGTTTCCCTTGCATTTCCCTTGCAGTACAGGCTTAAGCTGAAACTTTGCTTCATTGTTTGATTTGCTGCAAAGGGCCAAACCTTGAAGAAAGGCAAAGCTCTGAAAAAGGGCATGGTCCTGATGAAACCAGTCAAGAAAAAAGGTGCAGGAAACCCACAGCCCAAGCTGAGAAAAAGTTTCCCTGAAGTTGACCAGGATGCTTTAGATGATGCCCTTGACAGCCACATCAGGCAGATTGGTGTGCAAGAAGCATTGAACCTGCTGGACTACAGGCATCTCCAGCCACAGCAGGCTGAGATCCCCAGAGCCACGTTCAAATTGCACCCTCTCCTCAAAGCATTGGTGCAAGTCAGCCCCAGTGCAGAAATCAGGTACAGGAATCTGAAACACAGTCTGACTGTGGCTGTCCACAAGTTTGGGGCTGAACTCTTGAACAAGTACTGGGAGGTGGAAGCAGCTTTGCTACCTGGGAGGGCTGCTGACAGCATACTTGTCCTCCTTAAACACTGGAGGAGGGTGACAGCCAGTCCAGCAAGTTGGGAAAGGTTTGGCACCAAACTTGACACAGCACAGTTCCAAGTGCTCACTGGTCTATACAAAAAAAAACTGGTAAAAAGGTTGGTGGGTCACCAGGCAAGAGGAAGCTGAAGAAAGAGGTGTCAGATGTTACAATGGCATCTGATGGCTTCCCTGCAATGTTGGCCACTTCTTCTGCATCAGAGGCAGAGGATGGTTCTGATGGTGAAGCTTCTGAAGCTTCTGAAGCTTCTGCTGCACCCAGCAACTCTTTGCTTGGGTCTCCACCTCCTGTGACCAAAGCTATGTGGAGGGAAAAGGCTGGCAAGCCTGTGAAGAAAAGGACGGTGCCAAGAAAAAACCAGCAGCAGGAAAAAAACCAGCAGCAGAAGTGAAAAAGAAGCCAGGTGACACAGGCTTGGGGCCAGATACCCCAATTGCCCAGGAGACCCTGAGCATAGGTGGTGGCAAGAACCAGTCCTACATACAACACATGCCTTTTGGCCCAAACACTGTCAAGAAGCTTGTGGTCAGTGTGTCTTTGGCCCAAGCTGCCAAGCTCAAGGTTTCCCATAAGCAGCTGGTGGAGGAGCTCTTGCCTGCTTGCAAGCAGGCTGGTGCCACCAAGGCCTCAGTATTAGCTGCCAGGTTGAAACTGTTTCAAAAATATGAAAAGGCATGATGTGGATTGCCTTGCAAAGGGCTGTAGCCTTGAATAAAGGCAGTAGCCTTGCAAAAGGGCTGTGCAAGCACACACCAAAGCCTTGCACAAGGCAGTAGCCTTGTATAAGGGCTGTGCAAGCTGTAAATATTGTACATACAGCAGCACCACTCTTCTGCATACATGAGTGAAAAAAAGGTGCTGCAATACATGGCCAGGTGCTGCCAAGCCAAAAGCAACATGTTGTGTAAGCAAAACCAAGTACAACCTGAACAATGTTGCATATTCTGTTTCAATTTTGGGCTCAAGCTGCTAAAGCTGTAAGGCTTCCTTGGTTTGCAACAAGACCAAGGGCCAAACCTCGCGAAAGGGCACTTCAATATGACTTGCTTTGAAAAGGGCATTCTGTCCTGCAGAAGGGCCAAGCCTTGTGTAAGGGCAGTGTATGGTATCATCCCCTTCCAGCCCTGACTACTCCAGGCCTTCACCACCTAAGTCACCCAGCAGAAGCAGGAGCAAAAGCAAGGCCCCAATGGCCAGAAACAGCTGGAGTGATGATGGGTGGGAAAAAGGGTGGCAAGATGGGTGGGAAGAGTGGGAGGGCTGGGGGGATGACAAGGAAGAAAAAAAATGGGCTTCCACATGGAAGACCAGAGGGAGGTGGGAAGAAGAAAAATGGGAAGATGGAGGGGAAAGGAGGTGGAGGAGGGATGAACATGGCAAAAGCCTGACTTCAGGCAGTGCCCATATGAGGCAAAGGCTGCAACTCCTGCAGGAGAAACAAGGGCTGCCAAAAAACAAGGATGAGGAGTATGTCCAAAGACTGGCTGCTATGGGCCAAAGCAGGTTCAAAAGGATGATGGGGAGGAAGGAGAAACAAGAGAAAGCTGAGAGGGAGAAGCAAGAAGCTTTCCAACAAGGGGCAGCATACCAGCAGCAGCTGGTATGGCAACAGCAGCAGCAGTGGCAGCAACACCAATGGCCACAAGGGTGGTCACAGCAGTGGCCACAACAGTGGCCAGCACAAGGTGGCATTACACTCATGCTGTTTTTTGTTTTCAAATTTGCATGTGCACTTTTTTTTGTGGCAGGTGGCTATGGGTATGGTACCAGCCAAGCAGCTGCATCCCAGCCTCCAAGCCCCAAAGGCCTGGCCATGAGAGTGTGCACAGTTCAGTTCATACTTCATACCTTTTTTTGTGCAATGCCCATTTAGTTCATACTTTTTTGGGCAGGTGCAGCACAGGCAAGTGAACCAAATGCTGCAGGACTGTCTGGTTTTCTCATTGTACCTTTTTTCAAATCCATGCTGCCCAATTTTCAGGTATACTTCCCATATTTCTCTGCCAGGACCACCCAGGGATCAGAGGAGTGGCCTTGGGAAAGGGCAAGCAAAAGGCCTTGGGAAAGGGCAGGCAAAAGGCCTTGAAAAAGGGCAAACAAAAGGCCTTGAGAAAGGGCAGAACCAGCAAAGCAGCAGCACCAGCAGCTCCAACAGTGGGCAGTCCAGCCCTTCCCCACCACCAGGCAAAGGCACCTGCTACTGAGAAGGTTTCCGGAGGTCAGAAAAAACACACCAGAAACCTGACGGCTTGGCGGCAAGCAACAATCGGACGGAGGCCATCAAGGTGCGGTCAGAAAAGACACACACACACGCTGGTCTGCAACGAATGCGACGGGCTGATGTGCCATTGTGCGGTCAGAAAAGACACACACGCCAGGCTGCAACGACTTCCGGCTGCTCATGCGGCTTTGCGACAGCCACGACTCTGATCACCGAAACAATTTGGTCAGCGAGTCATACAGCTGCACCGCATGTGTCCGCAGACGCAGGCAAGCGTCGCGATCTGCTGCCAAGAAATGCTTCTCCTTGTTGTCCGAATTGTACGGCACCAGAGTTAGCCCTTTGTTTTCGACGTTGCTGTAAAACTGGGGCAACCATCTTGGCAACCCGACGGTCATCACTCGATCGTCTGCATCCTCTGCCGTCGTCTTGTGTGGAGCAACAAACCCGAGGTCTTCAAGCAAATTTTTGAAATACTGTGTCGAACCTTTAGCTTCTTTCTAGTGGAGTGTAGTGTAGTGTAATTTAGTGTAGTGGAGTGTAGTCGACTGTAGTTGTAGTTGCCTATAGTGTTGTGAAGTGTAGTGTCATGTAATGTAGTGCAGCGTCGTATAGTATAATGTGGTGCAGTCGAGTGAAGCGAAGCAACATCTGAACCGCCAAAAGTGCTCCGAAACCCTGGTGTTTTGTACATTTTGACTTCGAAATGTGCTTCGCGCCACAACGGCGTGCACTGTTTCGAAACTCGACATCTTAGCCTCCAAAAGTGGTCCGAACCCCTGGTGTTTTTAACATTTTGACTTGGCAATGTGCTTCGCGCCACAACGGCGTGCACTTTTTCGAAACTCGACATCTGAGCCTCCAAAAGTGGTCCGAACCCCTAGTGTTTTTAACATTTTGACTTCGAAATGTCCTTCGCGCCACAACGGCGTACACTTTTTCGAAACTCGACATCTGAGCCTCCGAAAGTGGTCCGAACCCCTAGTGTTTTTAACATTTTGACTTCGAAATGTCCTTCGCGCCACAACGGCGTGCACTTTTTCGACATCGCAACGTCAAAAAGTGGTCCGGAGCTGGTGTGTTTTGTACATTTTGACTTGGAAATGTGCTTCGCGCCACAACGGCGTGCACTTTTTCGACATCTCAACGTCCAAAAGTGGTCCGAACCTGGTGTGTTTTGTACATTTTCACTTGGAAATGTGCTTCGCGCCACAACGGCGTGCACTTTTTCGACATCGCAACTTCAAAAAGTGGTCCGAACCTGGTGTGTTTTGTACATTTTGACTTGGAAATGTGCTTCGCGCCACAATGGCGTGCACTTTTTCGACATCGCAACTTCCAAAAGTGGTCCGGACTGCTGGTGTGTTTTGTACATTTGCACTTGGAACTGTGCTCATCGCGCCACAACGGCGTGCAATTTTTTCATCTCTCATCTGGCCAGCTGGCTCCGCACCCGCCGCTTTAGCGAGCCTACTTTCGACCCTCCGAGCCACAAATCATTGGAAAAACAGTGAAATCGCGACTTTCTCATACTTTTCGCGCACCTGCATCTTCTTTCTTCTGATCTTTTCTCTGACTCTTCTCACCTCTGCTTTTCAACTGTCCATATTGTTGGAAGTTTCACTTCTAAACTTCCTTCGATAACATAGAGACTCTACATGTACTATATAGTATACATTATTTCGTTATATGTCTGTACAACTGTACAGTATAACTCTAGAGACTCTACATGTATATATATATATATACATCATTTCGTTATATGTCTGTACAACTGTACAGTATAACTCTAGAGACTCTACATGTATATATATATATACATCATTTCGTTATATGTCTGTATAACTGTACAGTATAACTCTAGAGACTCTACATGTATATATATATATACATCATTTCGTTATATGTCTGTAGAACTGTAAAGTATAACTCTAGAGACTCTACATGTATATTTATATATATACATCATTTCGTTATATGTCTGTATAACTGTACAGTATAACTCTAGAGACTCTACATGTATATATATATATATATATCATTTCGTTATATGTCTGTATAACTGTATAGTATAACTCTAAAGACTCTACATATGTATATATATATACACATCATTTCGTTATATGTCTGTATAACTGTATAGTATAACTCTAAAGACTCTACATATGTATATTTATATATACACATCATTTCGTTATATGTCTGTATAACTGTATAGTATAACTCTAAAGATTCTACATATGTATATTTATATATACACATCATTTCGTTCTATGTCTGTAAAACTGTATAGTAAACTCTAGAGACACTACATATACACATCATTTCGTTATATGTATCTATAACTGTATAGTATAAGTCTAGAGACTCTACATATGTATATTTATATATATACACATCATTTCGTTATATGTCTGTAAAACTGTATAGTAAACTCTAGAGACACTACATATATACATCATTTCGTTATATGTATGTATAACTGTATAGTATAACTCTAGAGACTCTACATATATATATACTTATCATTTCGTTATATGTCTGTATATCTGTACAGTGTAACTCTAGAGACTCTACACACAAATGTATATATATATACATCATTTCGTTATATGTATGTATAACTGTATAGTATAACTCTAAAGATTCTACATATGTATATATATATACACATCATTTCGTTCTATGTCTGTAAAACTTTATAGTAAACTCTAGAGACACTACATATATACATCATTTCGTTATATATATGTATAACTGTATAGTATAACTCTAGAGACTCTACATATATATATACACATCATTTCGTTGTATGTCTGTAAAACTGTATAGTATAACTCTACATATATATACATATATGTATTTATATATATATGGTACTATATATGCACAGACATGACGAAACATCCAACTTTAGGAAGAGCATACGTTTGACCCTGACCTCTGTTTCCAGCTAACTCCCCGGGATAAGACAGTGGATAGAACACTTTTACAGTTGGCAAGTGAAACTCCTGAGGTAGAAGAAGACTTTGCGGCCATTTATGAGGCTTGCGGTGGAACGAAGTTTTATCAAGATACACCATACTTATTTCAGAGACTGAGAGGTATCCAGGCATTGCTTCTAGTCACATCCTCAATTCAATTGGACACATCCAAATATAAGAACATTCTTGTGATAATGTTGACAAGATACGTATATATGGTTCTTGGTGAATCACTTTCCCACAAGACTCTTCTGCATTTGATGAGGTGCCAGAAGACATGGCTTGGAAGCCACTGACCTATGAGGAGAAGGACATCTTGAAAGCGCGCAAGAAAATCCGTGCAGTGAAGAAAATCGAGGACAGGTTGTGGTTGGTCTCGAGCCCGGGAATTTATTTCGGGGACTGGTAACCAACTGACCAACTGACCAACCACGATGGGGTTTGCTGGAAATGTCATCAACAACGATGTGATAAATCCCAAGAATACATGGGTATGACTGATATACCGATATACCCTTTGGTTATTTAACGTAGCTATGGAAATTGCTAATTTATAGATGATTTTTTGATGATTTGCCTATTAAAAATGGTGATTTTCCATGGCTACGTTAAAGTATCACAGGGTAAATATATATATATATAAGCAGGGAACCCCCCCCCCCCCCCCCCAGCCAGATGGTTCCCCCCCCCCTGTGGCAGGGGGGGGGGTTCTCAGCAGCCAACATACATATATATATATATATATGCATCGTATATGTGGATTTTGATAGAATATAGATAGTATATGCCACATGTACTGTATCCACAGTAGATGTAATATATATATATATATATATAATAGGTAAATATATTCGTTGAATAAATTTTAGATAGTATATGTGGTATATTGAATATCGACAGCAATACACGCTGTATATCTAGAGTTTATGTGTGTATGTATATATATATATATATATATATTGTGATAGATACAAGAACAAGATATCAATATGTAGTATCTAGAGTGTGCATATATATATATATTGTTTTTCTACTGTACATATGTCTAGGTTTGCATAGGTAAGCTTTGCGTAATCCATAGCTAGCAAATATGTTGTAAACCATGTGCGAGGCACGCTATAGGCAGTTCGAAAAAAAGGTTCTGATAGAATATACAGGTAGACAAGGTCCGTTGACGAGGTCGTGGCTCTCAAGTGCTGCAAATAACGTAGAGATGCGAGGTTGGAGGGGTGGAAAGGGGAGTATATATGTGTATATGTGTATGTATATGTGCAAATAACATGCAAATACTAGGTTTTGGGGGGGTGGGGGGGGTTAGGAGTGGGGGGGGATACCATTGGGGGGGGAGGGGGGGGGGGTGTGGGGGTCCGGGGACCGGGCTCATATATACATACATATATTTATGTGTATATAATGGGGATCATTCTCCAACAATCAACTCTATGGTGCACATTGCCAAAAAATACTTAGAAAAACACTGCTGTGCCAAGCTGGGAGGTGACGAAAACCGCAAGCTCTTGTGAAAGGTTTCAAGCCATGGGGGTGGGTCAAAACCTATTATTACCAATTTTAGTGGGATGCGCATACGCTGACCAATAGCTGGGGTTCACGAAGGGTCAAAAATACCCTAAGAATGGGAGAAACATGGAGAAACCATAGAAATCATGGCATTTCCATAGGATTTCATGGATCTTTAAAGGGATGTCATTGAATCTAATGATTGTAATAGGATTTTTTGCACCCCTAAGAATGATCACTGATATGGTTTTCCAGTGAATGATGGTCTTCATGCATGGGTTCATCTTTTTTGGAAAGTTCACGGGACCATCACTGCGAGCGAGATATGCCATGAGATAATAAGCCTCTTAATCAGAAAATAAGCGCTAAAGAATGAAGTGGAGATAATGTAGTGACTAATTGGTGATCGTCTAATGAATAACTTCACATATCAGTTTAAGATCAATATTCAAAAAATAGCCAGTGATGATTGAGTTACTGGAGTAACATTGGGATATAACCAGCGAAAATGGAGATATAACCAACCAAAATGATATCTAATAGTTTTATCCCGCGTTCATATGAGTTACACCCCCCTTCTACGGTCCCAAAAATGTGGTTTTATCCCCTCCTCACTTCCAGGGGTGTTAAATATGAGCGAGGTAAAGGATTCTTCATAGTCAAAACCTGGCAAATATGCAACATGGTTTTGGGTCAAAACCCATCCTCTGCGTTTTGCCTGAAACCAGGAGGCGTACGCCGTGAAGGGTCATGTGGAGCCAGGGCAACTGGCTAAGCTGCAACGCAAAGCCAAGCTGGAACAGGTGCCCGAAACGTGGCTCCAAACATTTTTCGGAGGGTCATATATATATATAGTTATATATAGTTATATACATAGTTATACCCCAGTTGTATGTATGTAAAATAATATAATATAATATATCATAATATAATATATCATAATGTAATACAATATAATATAATATGATATAATATAATACAATATATATATTTTTTGAATATATAACATAACATATAATTTCATATTATATTTATATTATATTATATTGTATATATTTAGATTATATTGTATATATTTATATTATATTGTATATATTTATATGGGTGAATTACAACGACTTCACTACGACCGCACTGGAATCATCGTTAGTAAGGAGAATCACCATCCCCCCCCCACTAAGAGGAGATTTCCGGCTGGCAGCGGGTCATCCTCACCCTCCTCACCCTCCTCACCCTCCTCATCCCCATCATCCCTGTCATCCGCAGCATCCACATCATCATCATCGTCATCATCGTCATCTTATGTTGCATTGTCTCGCGCATCTTTATGCAGATTTGGGCTTCCATTTCGGGGGGCCTTTCTTTTTGATATTGCATTTCTTTTGCTAACAGTGCTTGGTGAGGGACGATTGCTGCATTGGGGGATTTTCGCTTGCTGGACTCAATAGATTTTGCAACCCTACAACAGGCCTGCTCATCATAATCACCATCCTCATTTTCATTTTCACTCTCATCCTCTGCATCCTCATCCTCCTCATCATCCCCATCATCTTCATCATCCTCACCATCCTCTTCGTCCTCATCATCGCCGTCATCAACTCATTCCTGTTACCCTCACTTTCATCATCATCAGTTTCCTTCAAGTTTCTGGTCAGCAACCTCATCAACATCAAAAGATTGGCACTGTTTGTGACTTGCCGCAAGTCCAAGAAACCACGTGAGACTGTTGCTGCATTCCGACTTCACCTTGCTAATCCCCCTTTACAATTGCCACCCTACCCGAGCCCTGTTAGCTTTCGTACCGGCCCCCTGGCCTCAAGTACAGATTCTGTTTGTTAGCTATACTACCGGATAATTGTTTGCTGAAATTTTCTTACAACATCCAGAATAATTATTGGATGTTATATATATATATGTGTGTATTTTTGTTAAACTGTTTGTATGTTATAGTAAAACTGGTTGCCTGTTTTTGATTCACTTTTTGTTTTGAGAATGCAACCGACATGAGATGATATGAGGTGAAAAAAAACTAATATGGGGATACCCTATAGTTGACATACCCTACTGTAGTTGAAACCATTAGTATGTGGAAATAGTATCATCTAGTTATTAAATATCATGTGCAACCCACCAGTTCTATTATACTTATTACATGTTATTACCGTCTGGTAAACTGTTACATAGCTATTGAAAATGGACCATTCATACTTGGTTTACCTATTAAAATGGTGATTGCCCATGGTCAATTCGAATGGTGAACATGATGATTTCACCAACAAGAAAGAGTGATTGCAACAGTGCAACATCATAGGGGTTGGATACCACTAGTTTGTGACAACGTCCACAGCGAAAATATTGGGAAAACACGCCTCCAGGATCTGCATCAGAGTGAAGAGCGAAGCCACAAGAAAGGAGGACCAGCGCCTTATGTACCATCTTGTGATTCACCAGCTTGCTATGGAAACCCACCATTGTTTTATAGGTAAGTCATGTAAAATGGGCCACTTTGCAGAGCTATGTTAAGTAACCAGAGGGTGTATACATATGCATTTACTGTGTGTGTATATATATATATATCCCATTAGAATATCATAGATGGTGGTAACAATTGGAATTAATGGGATGTCATGGGGATTTCATGGGGGGTCCAAAAGGTGCCAGGCCTAAGAATAAAGGAAGGCCTGGGCCAAAGGCCGCACCTGAGGTGAAAGAGGAAGAGGGTAGCTGGGTTGAAGTAGCCAGAAAAGGCCATAGAAGAAAAAATTGAAAGCCTTGAAGAAGGGCTAAAGCCTTGAAGAAGGGCCAAAGCCTTGAGGAAGGGCCAGCCTTGGGTAAGGGCTTCTATTTTTTGAAAAAGTTCCAAAGGGACTTTGGGCCACCTCCTGCACTGTGAGCAGTTGAGAAAAAAGAGGTTGCTGGGGAGCTTGGGCATGAATAGCCCACTGATTGCTGAATGAAACATATATTGAAAAAATGAGCAGTCCAGTCATTACCCAAAAAAAACAGTTCAAAGTGGAATCCAAAATTTTGAAAAGGTCTGCATTGTTTTTCAAATCAAATCAGTTTGGCACAGGTTCCAAAATGACTACAAAAAGTGGATCCATCATATTGCATCATATGATGTCATATGATGGGTGGGGCCATCATATGATGGGCTTGGGCCATCATATGATGGGCTTGGGCCATCATATGATGGGTTGTGGCCATCATATGATGGGTGGTGCCATCATATTGCATCATATGATGTCATATGATGGGTGGCAGTTTTCTGGGTAGAAATGATTGGTGCTATTTTTTTTTGAAATCTGTAGCTTTCAAAAGCTCAAGGTTGAAACCTGCAATTTTCTTTGGCCTTGCCAAGGGCAACCTCTCAACCCAAAGCCTTGCAGAAGGGCAAAGGCAATGGGAAAGACAATGAAGGCCATGAAAGCTACCCCAAAAAAAACAAAGCAAACAGAGACGTGGCAAACTACCAAGGGGATATAACATGATAATGTTCATTCATTTATAGATGGATTTTCCATTATAAACCATCCAGCTATTTGGGGATCCCCCATGGAACCCATATATACATTCATATACTGGTGGTTTTAACCATGCTTGCTATACAGCATTCTAGGGGGTGAAATCCAACTCGCAGCCGTCCGCTCAGTTGGGACTTCAACGCGGCGATTAGCCTGTGAGCCCAGTATTATCCCAGGATCTGCGAGTTTCATCCCCCAGTGCTGAAATGGTCATTGACGGCTGGATGATTGGAGTACACTGTAAGCGGTTTACAACCAGTAAATTCGCTTATTCACATCCAAGTAGGAAAGATTGTCAAAACAAAAACGCATCCTTGCAAACTCGTCTTTTGCAGCAATTCTAGCCAAAAACTTCCCATACTCCAACGCTTTCCACATTCCATGCCAAAATAATGGTTTAAAAACATGGGAAAGTGGTATACGCACACTTTGTGGCATGCTATGACTGCTCTGAAGTGTATGTGCAGAAAATCTTGAATCGTGACCGTGATATCTACACCTTGTGGTATGTGATAATGCAGGGGTACGTGTTCCCTTCAGCCTCAACCATGGATCACTGTGGATCACTATGGTCTATCAAACAGCGGTGGCCTTATGGAGTACCTTCCCCTTCCATCCCACAGATCTTTTTTTAAGGTCCAGGGCCAGGGATACTAGGAATTAATTTGGATATTATCCTAAATAACCCAATAAAACATCGACCTAAAAATCAACTTCTCACCATGGGTTACGGGCCGTTTTCTGGGATTTCTGTATCACTATATGTGCCATGGTCAAAACATGGTTTTTGTGGTATGGTCATCCATCCCACCATGGGAATCCATAGGGATTCTGTGGGATGTCATGTGACAACCCACCCATCCAAAAAAATGGTGAAAATCAATGAAAATCATGGTCAATCAACAAGCTTGGGGTGATATTAACTATTACAACCATGGGATATCGTGATATATATATATTAATATAATTACATATAATAGTTATCTATGTATCCCTAATATAATGCTTGGTTGGGTGTGGCTTTTAAAGCGCTACTCTGCTGCCCCATTTGTAACTCAACTAGACTAAATGGGATGCCACTTCCAATGGGTGGACAACTTATTTTTGTGATGTGGCAAATAAAAGAGTAGAACCATGGGCGAATTTACCATTTGGGTGTTTCGTAGACCCGAAAAAAGGTCTTGGCGCTTGTTAACCATGGGATATTACCTAACCCACATACCCTCTGGTAAACTAACATAGCTATTGAAAATTGCCATTTATAGTGGATTTACCCATTAAAAATAGTGATTTTCCATAGCTATGTTAGTTTACCAGAGGGTATGTCCTGTTTGCAATCCTGATCCTATTCTTTATAGATTTTCCACGCCTGACGTCAGGGGCAGACGCAATTCACCCAGAGCTGGCTGCCCCGTCCTTAGTTCGGGTCACCCCTGGCGTACCCCAATGGTAAAATACAGGTTTTCTGCTATTTTTGAGCTTACTGATTAGCTAACCCCCTTAAAAACCCTTTTGTGCTCGCCAGGGGTAGGTGGGAAGTTCCACATAAAGCATGGGGCAGAATTGAGTGGGACAAGCATCCTTGATTTTGACTCCCGGTGTGAAACACCTTGGGCAGCTTTTCTACCCCTTTTCTACCTTTGTAGCACCTCCTTCGTAACATGGTGTGTCGGCCAATCGAAACACACGGCTGTAGATTGAGGTCGAACCCCAGCCCACGGCTGTATCATTATCAACTCTTTTGCAGAACGCATGGCTGGTGCGCTACGAGGCAGTGTCGGAGGTTGCATCAACATGTACATACATATCCATACTTATAAATATATGGACATTTGCATACACACATTATGTAGATATGATATACATACCATATGTATATGTATATATACTCATACGTTTAAAGGCATCCAAATGCACATTCACAATACATATAAATATATACATATGCACACTTGCACACATACATTTATCAAATATACATAAATGAAGAAGTAAATGAATAGATAAGTAACTAATTAAGTGAGTACATAAATAAATAAATGAATAAACGCATATATATATATTTACATATGTGTACACATATGTAACCATATGGATTCACATATCTATTTACATGAAGGGATTTACATATGCAAATACATACATACATACATACATCCATCCATCCATACATCCATGCATGCATCCATGCATGCATGCATGCATGCATGCATGCATGCATACATCCATACATCCATACATCCATGCATACATACATACATCCATGTATATATATATATACACATTTGTATACATATGTGTCTTTTTTGTGTGTTTTCAGGGTGATTTATAACTGGGCTTCAAATTTGATGCCCCCATTGACAAAAAATTTCAAGATCAGCCGCCCAGATCCTTTTTTTAAAATTTTTTTCCTCGTTATTTGGTGGTGAGATTCCCATGAAACCCCATGATTTCGATGAAATCGGCAGGCTTCGATGCCAGGCCGCTTGAAGTGGTGGGACATGCCTGTGTGCAACGACCAACCATAATGGGTGTGCTTTGAAATGGGGTACACCCCAAGAATAGGGATATTTGATGGCTATTGAACATATTGTGTTAAAAAGTATGCACACATCAATACAAATCATGGGAGTCGTTCACAAAATCACAGTACATGAGCAAAAAAAATCGGAATGTAAGCGACATCTTTGGATACATACCTCGCCATCATGGGGACTGGAACAACATTGCCAGGGATATGTGTATATATATATAAACTGATGATCAGCAATCGAGGCCAAGAACAAATGGGACAGGCGGGTTCGGTGGTTTTAACCAACCTAGATCTTCGATCGTATAAGAATATTTTGGTAGACTATGTTGTTTACCATTTCTTGAGATATCGGGCAGAAAAAGGTAGTCCTTCACCACATCGACTTATTTTTCTTAAACCGACCAGTTTTGGGCCAAATGGGTCCACATGAGACATTCAGCACTTGGAGTGAAGAATCCCCATGTTGAGACATTAAATTTGATGATTTGGGGATACTGTTCAACTCATCAGCCATTGATCATCTCGTGGATTGGGATAACCACTTACTATTATGATCTTAGAATATGGGATAGATTGGGATAACCATTGGCAAAGTCCTAGCAATTTTCTGGGACCACTCGCAACTTTGAAACTTGATTCGCGATTTGAGATGTAATCATATGAAATCTACAGATTTTCAATGATTTTCAATGATTTTCATGAGCAAAATGGCAAAAGTTTGCGCGTACAAAATTCTTCAAAACGACCTCAAAATCCCAGCAAACGACCTCAAAAACCATCAAACGGCTATAAATCCCAGAAACTAGGTCAATCATGTTCTTTACAATTCCAGAGGATTTGCTTCAAACCATGATATTTCCATAAGCTTCAGCCAAATTTGTAACCATATTGACCCAAGCAGGGAATCCTAGCTGGAGCAGAAAGGGTGACTACATTCACATCTGCAAAATCTCGCTGCTTAATTGCTACATTTGACACTGAAGCTGTACTGCATATGGATTTACATCATAATTTCATTGGTTTCACCTTGAAGTGGATTTTGCTAAAGACTTGCCTAGGCGGTAAAGGGTACCAACATGGCAGGTGAAGGGTTAGGGGGCAAATCTTGCCCTTCAATGGTGGGGTCGCCTACTTTTCTGTGAAGCGTATGGTTTTGGCTTAAAACAATCTGAAACGACTCAAACGTCTACTTCTTGGAATATCGATCAGAAAAAGTAGTACAAAGGGCATCGACCAAAATATTTTGAGATTTAGAAGCTCTAGGAAGAAGAAAATCTGAAAAGCACTGTAGACTACTTCCCTTGGACTTGCTGATCCCGAAACCTCCCAAAAAATAGGTGCCACGCCGTCGGACGATGGAACTGCAGGACCAGATGCGACGTTGAAGATCAGTGCCGAAGCTCAGAGTGCCTGTCAGACTCATGATGATGATGATGATGATGTGATTCGGAGAAAATGGAGACCAAACAGATTCAATCATCTGCCCCACAGCAACATACAGCAGCTCACTTCATCAAACTTCATCAAACTTCATCAGACTTTACCTTTCTCCATATTTGATCCAAGTTGCGATTGCACATCGTGAGGCGAAGTGAAGAACACAGATTGCCAGAGCCCGACGACTGCGTCAGATCGGCCGAAGCTTGACTGCACTGAGTCTGCAGAACATGAACGGAGATGTTTTGGCGCACATTCTTCCAGATCTCCCAGCGCCCCAGCGCAGACCCAGGTCGACGCAAAGTGAGACTCCTGAGGACAGCTCCTCCGGCTAGGTGATGGTAGGTCTGGTAGGTCTGGTAGGTCTGGTAGGTGTCCCATTGGCGTGCGAGGAGACTGCGCGAGCCTTGCTGCCCCTGCCTGAGATATGCTGAGATCATCTCTATGTTTTTGGTGATTTTTGTAGGTTGGAGGCTAGGCATGGACTGAGGCTGCATCTTCTCAAGGGAGGTGCAAAGGAGGACATGGGAAGTCAATGTGAACCAGTCGCCCAGTTGTCGCCCAGTTGAATGATGTTGAATTCACATTTTGGTCCATTTTGATTTTCGACATGGCCCGACATGGCCAGTGAGTTCGGTCAGTTGGGACAGGAGTCGACTAAGCCTGGGCCAGCCGAAGGCCTGTACGGACTTGCCGTTCAGCACATGTCAGATGCTTGGCATTCCGAAGAATGTCCAACTTTCTTGTGCCTTGCAGGCAACATCACACCAAGCACTGCCAGTGAGGAAGGGGGTGATTCGCAGCGGCAGGCGCGGGCCGTTGTACTATGTTGATCTATGTTGTAGCCTCGATTGGAAGAGATTTCCAGGATGTTCCAAGCGCTTATTCAATGCGGGGTGGTGCTTGTGAGGCTCTAGCTTCGAGCGGTCAAGAGCTGCTCAGACAGTCCTCATCTCAGCTGTCTCAGCTATTGAAAGAGTGACAATACCTCTCCTGTGCTTTCTTCTCTCCCAAATCCTCTTGTTTACATGCATTCGCTTGTATTTTCCCACTTTAAAAGCGTTTAGGAGCTAATTCCACACCTTTCTACGGCTTCTGTCCGCATCTTGTATTAATCTCACAACAGAGAGGCTGCAGGGAGGCGCAGAGGCCAAGGCCCAAAAGGCCTGCCTTGCATTCGATACAGCATCTGAAGAGACACGAGCCATGTTCAAGAGTTGGATTTCACCGTTCAACATGGGGATGCAGTGGGACATTGATATTACGGGATACAATGGGATATGTATATATATATAATATGTATTTACATACATACATACATACATACATACACACACATATATATAATATGTGTATAACTATGTATATATATACATGCGTATACATACATGTATATATATATACATATATATATACACACCCGTACTTTTACACACACATATATATTTATATATATACACATACATATATGTGAATAGCTGCATATGTATGTATATATGTATATACATCCATGTTTATGTAAATATACATATATCATCTGTAACGAAATGGAAGAGCTGTAACGAAAAGGCAGAGCTGTAACAAACAGGAAGACCTGTAACGAAAAAGATGAGCTGTAACGAAAAGGAAGAGTGGTGACGAAAAAGGAAGAGTTGTAACTAAAAAAAGGAACTGCAACAGAAAGGAAGAGCTGTAACTGTAACGAAAAAAAGACCTGTAACGGAAAGGAAAGAGTTGAAACAAAAAGGAAATTCGTAGCTTCCAAGCTAGAAACATCATCATGTCAAATTTCCATCGGGCTGACTTTCACGCTAGCAACATCAGCCGCAAGTTTAGGGAAGAAACTTCCACGTTACGGAGTTTTAGAAATCTATTGAATCTATTAGAGTAGGGTAGGGTAGAGTAGAGCAGAGTGGAGTACAGTAGAGTAGAGTAGAGTGTACAGAGAAGAGAAGAGTAGAGTAGAGTAGCATAGAGTGGCGTAGAGAAGAGGAGGGCACCTGAGGCATTCGGAGCTTGAGAAACCTTGTGCCCTACTTTGTGGAGACTCCTGTGCAGCTCAGAACAGCAGATGGCCTGTATGTGGCACAGAAGAAAATAGGGATGTTCTTACCACATGAGTGGTTTTATTGGCTTTGTGGCCAAGACCAAGCTATGTCAGGGTTGCAAAATGTTGAAGAGTTCTGGAAAGAACACAGCCCAAAAGACCCACAGCTGAAGAACAACATTATCAAAGAGACTCAGCAGCATAGAGTGCCATTTGTCACTGCCACCTTTGCATCCAAATCCAAAAAGGCAACCTTTTCCTCTGTGGTTTACATGCATTGGCTAAGGAGCACAGACATAAGTGCTTGCCCTGTGGCTTACATGGAGATGGGGGCCAATTCCAGCGAAATGATAGCATCAATGTGATCAGCATGAGGAGCCTGCTATCCAGCCCCAATGTTGCTTCAAGCCAGCTCTTGCTACTGGCTTTGCCAAAGGGTGCCATCAACAAGAGCCCTGATGATGCAGCATCTGACACCATGAAGGTCCTTTGGCAAGTACTCCAATGGTCTTGGGAAGCTGCTTTCTACAACAAGTTTCCTGAATTTGACCATGCAGGGAACCCTTGGCCAGCAAAGTCTTGGAGACAGCAAATGGCTGGTCAACCTTTGAGCAGAGAAGGCTTCAGAGCTTGCATCTGGGCAGTGCAGGCAGATGGTGAGTACCTCCAGAATGAGTTCCAGCTGAAAGGTGCATCACATGAGGAGATGTGCTTCAATTGCTCAGCAAACAAAAGCACTCTCCCCTATAATGACTTCAGGCCCACTGCAGCTTGGAGGGCTACAGTGGTGGAGCATGCAGGGACATGTCCTACAGATCATGTGATCAGCACCATTCCAGGTGTGGTTGGTGAAAGCTTCAAATATGACACCCTACATGTGCTAGAGGAAGGCCTCACAGCACATGTGCTGGCCAATGTCCTCTTTGACCTGGTTGTGAAGGCCTGCCAGGAACACAGAATGAGAGACTGACCTACCTCTTTAGGAAAATCTGCGCCCTCTACCAAGAGCAAGGCATTGAGGCCAGTGACAGGATCAGGAAGCTGACACTCTCTACTTTCTGTTCTCCAAAGAGCAAGCATGATCAGTTTCCTACTTTGACAGGGGTGAAGGCTAGACACTGCAGGTGGCTGGTACCTGTGCTGGAAGAGATATGCTTGGAATTCCAGAGTACAGAGGACAAGTACAGTGTACATCGGTTTCAAACTGTCAAGCACCTCAACCAGCTCTACACAATCATGGACTGCAGTGGCATGCATCCCACAGGGGAAGAAGCAACTTCTTTCAAAAAAAGCATGAACCTTTGCCTCCTACACTACTCCAGGCTGTCAGTGTTGAGCATCCAGCAAGGAATTCTACAATGGAATGTGACCCCCAAGTTCCACTTGTGTGAGCACTTAGCAAGTGTCTTTCAGTGGTTCAATCCTAAATTTTATTCCTGTTATGCTGGTGAAACAATGGCGGGCCACCTATCAGCCCTTGCTCATTCCTGCCTGAGTGGCACTGCCCCCTACCAGGTGGCCAGTAAGGTCACTTGGAGATACAGGTTAGCTCTTCACCTGAGGATCCAAGGAGCTGATTTTTCATGGCAAGATATAGAAAGTGATTAACATTGGGAAATGCCTTGGAAAAGGCTGCCCTGAGAAAGGGCTGCCCTGAAAAGGGGCCATGCCCTGCAAAAGGGCCTGAAATCTTGGCAAGATGTATATAGTTTTGTGCAAAGTTTCACAAGTAGCAGAGCAAGCAAAGATGAGCAAAAAATGCATTGGATGAACCAAGTTGGAAAGGCTTCAACACAGAACCATGTTGAAAAATACAACACAGCTCTGTTGAAAAATACAATAGAAAATGCACCCCTGTTTCAATAGGGAATCCAGGGAAAATTTCAATATATATATATATTGAAATTAGACCTCCATGTTGAAACTGTCGATCATTATTGAATCTTTTCAATAAGGCGTACTCTGGGTTTGGCAGACTCCGATACTTCATGTGCCGAAGGTCGTCTTCCCAATGAAATGACTCGAAGTCTGCGTCGTCTCTCCCAAGCTTTAAAATTGGACCCTTTCCTCGTGCAAACGGAGTGGGAGAAGCTGCGTCCAATAGCTGCTGCGCAAAAAAAAAAGGGAAACCTTGACAATCGAACTGCGTGGGCAGCGGCTTACGAGCACACGCAAAAGACTTCTGACTTGCGCAAGAAATATGGCCTGCAATGCTTGCCACTGGCTTTGCAGGCATACGTGTGCTGGAGCCCTTCCGCGTAACCTGAACTATTATTGAGCATTACTTCATTTTTTGGCACATAGACTTTGATGGCCTTTGTATTTTTTATCACTGAAGGGACATGTATGTTGCGCTTGCAGGTCTGGCGTGGAGCAAAGTTTCTCAAAGGCCGACCGTTGCTTTCATGAAGGCCGCTTTGGGTCCTCGGCGACTGACACGGAGCGCAGAGCTTTAATGATCTTGTGCATGGACACCACTTGGGACAAGGAGGTCGTTACTGGTGCTCGTCGCCTCTATGCTAGCGCTGTCAAGAAACACAAGGGGAAACAACGAAAACCACGTATGGACAAGGGCATTGCAAAGGGGCATTTTGCCAATTCGGAAGTTTCCTTTTTGAAAAGAAAGAGGGAATCCGTCAGAGAAGCCATGTCATCCGCGCCGGGTGAAAGTCTGGCTCAAGAGAACACAGGCGTGCTCTCTTCCAAAGCCCGCAAGGAGATGCAGCTCCAGAATCAGAGACGCTTGAATCGCGCCATTGATGCGGCTGAGAATGGTTACCTACTGGCAGATGAAGATGGGGACGCTCAGCAAGCCTTTGCGAAGTTGCAAAACAAGAAGCGCAAATGTGAACAACAAGATGCGAAACGCATCGAAGCCATAGCTCTTCGGAAGCAACTCTGCCAAGCTGTTTGCGAGCACCAGACTTGGAACTGGAAGAGCCTCGGGGCTCGAAAGGCCTGGTCGACAAGCTCCATACCTGCGGCCGAGCTTGCTCCACTTGTAGCGGTGGCGGTGCCTTGATTGCAAGTAAATATTTATTATAATTATATTATTTATAGTTTTCATTGTCTTTTCTTCACCTAGAGGCAAAAAGCTCCAAGCACTGCCTGTGCATCAGGACCCGCGCGAGGCGTCTGTCTTCATCCATAGCCAAGAAACCATTTCCGACAAGATGTATCTCATGGCAATCGCAGCTGGAGGCACTATCCTGTCCAAGAGTATCCTTCGAGGCGCAGGTGGTTTGCGACTCGAGTACCAAGCTGCTCCCTTTCGTCGACTACGACAAGAACATGTGGGTATTCATTGCTCCAAGGCATTTCGGGACCAGCATCCGGAATTTCTCAAGACCCTTGCTTGGGTTGTGGAAAAGGAAGGCTGGCGCAGATTGAAGGTCTCTTCCTTGGACAAACAAAAATCCATTTGCCTACTTGCTGAAGGGGATCCGGAGGGTCGCCACTTGAAGGCCAAAGCTTTGTTAGCTTTTTCGAAAGCAGATTTCATTGCCTTCCTGGCAAACAAATGTCAAGCAAAGGAGAAGCTTCTTTGTCAAACATGTTTAAGGGGTTAAGCTGCTCATGGATTGCAGCCAAGCAAAAAGACCGCGCGCTGATCCGAACCGGTCTGGGCGTGCGAGAGAATGCATGGTACTTTGCTACTATCCTCTCGCGCTCCCGGGCCGGTCTGGGTGTGCGAGAGGACAGTAGCGAATCGCTACTATGCTCTCGCGCACCCGGGCCGGTCTGGAGATGCGAGAGCGTAGTAGCAAATTGCGAAAGGGAAGGGAGAATGGCTTAAGGTAGTACGTTTTGCTACTATGCTCTCGCGCACCCGGGCCGGTCTGGCTGTGCGAGAGGACAGTAGTGATTTGCTACTATCCTCTCGCGAAGAAAACCCTAGCCCTGGCAAGTCTGAGTGTAGCGTTGGAGAAGAGTTGCTCATGTGCACTGGCGCTGCAATGTTCTGGCTCCGGTCAGTTGGCAAGTGCCAAAGGTTTCAAATTTCGTAATTTACTTTATAGTACAGCCACGAGCTGTAGTCAATCATGTTCAAATATTATACCATTTACTACGACTTGCCTAGAACGTGTTTTCAAGATTACTGAAAAATTAATTAATAATACCAAAAGACAAAATCTTTAAACCAACATCCCTGCGCCATGCCTCCTTCGAAGGCGCGCAAGTTCTTGAAGAGAAAAGCTGCGCATGAATTGCCGGACGCGTTCCTGGAGCAGAACATTGACAAGTTGAGAGCTTTTGTCAAAGCACATAAGGACAAAAGACCACCGCAGACAATGCCTGCAGGGAGGCTACGTGTGTTTGCAGACTGCGCGGGAATGTCTTCGGAGACTGTGGCTCTGCGCTTGCTGGGTTTCGATGCTTCGACCATGGAATTTGTGGGTGGCTCCGAGATTGATCCAGTCAAGCGTTGCTTAATGCAAAGTGTGCACAGGACTTGCAACCAATCCAAGCACAAGGAAGGCCTGGAGCATGATATCTTTGATCGGTGCATGTCCAACACCCCAGAAAGTGACCTTTACATTAGCGGCTTTCCTTGTCCTGCGTACTCAAGTTGTGGTATCAAAAAGGGTGCGAAGGATGGAAAAGGACGAGGGCTCTTGATCTTCGAAGGCCTCAAGTATATCACTTACAGAAAACCTTCCTTAGTGATTCTCGAGCAGGTCGCCGGCTTTGCGCACAAGCGACACACGCGAACACATCAAGTGATGAAAAAGTGCTTCCAAGCTTTAAAATATAAGGTGTACTTCAGGAAGCTAGCCACCCAAGAGCACGGCATTCCTCAAAGTCGCACCCGTTGCTTCTTCATCGCCTTCCGCAAGAATGTGAGCTTTCGTTTCCCGAAGGCTCTTCCGAAGCCCAGACTGAAAAAGTTTTTGGACGATACCAAAGGCGTAGAGAAGGTTGCGCTCTCTTTCTACGAACAGAAATATGGCGCGGGCATTTGGAAGGAGGAGCTTAGACATCGGCTCAAGTCCAGGCTGGCAATCTAAGATGGTCGACGATGTGTGCCCCTGCCTGATCCGAAGCAGGTGTCTGCAGAAGGGCTACTACCTGCCCCACAAACTTCGCCGTCTGAGTGGTCGTGAATGCGCGCGCTTGCAAGGAGTTCCGGACAAGGTCTACGAGAAGATGGCTGCTTTCTTGATGAAGAAGATGCCTCAGTACTCACTGCAGGAAAGTGCGGAAAAGCAAGTCATGGGAGCTTTGGGTGACAGCATGTCCGTCAATGTGTTGATGCGTTTGCTTGCAAGTGCTTTCACGGCAGCAGGTCTGAAGCCTCCGGGCCTCACCTTGACAGACCCTTGGCCCCAGGGTGTTGCAGACAAATGTCCACACACCTTGGCTGACAGACTTTTCACGCGGACGGAGTAAGAAACGTCGCTGCTGCGCTGCAACTTGTCTTGTTTGTCGCACGGCGGCTTTGCGCCGACTGTTGCGGACGGCGGCTCAGCGCCGACTGTTTGGACGGCGTCTTTTTGTTTCAACGGCGGCCTTGCGCCGACTGTCGCGGACGGCGGTGTCTGGCCGCTTGCCTTTTTGTTTCAACGGCGGCCTTGCGCCGACTGTCGCGGACGGCGGCTCAGTGCCGACTGTTTGGACGGCGGTGTCTGGCCGCTTGCCTTTGTTTCAACGGCGGCCTTGCGCCGACTGTTGCGGACGGCGGCTCAGCGCCGAGTGTCCATGTGGATTGTGCATACTTTGCGGCGGATGTCTGACCGCTGGTTTGGCATCGCAGCTTTGGGCTCATGTCGCTAACTTGCGGCTTGTTGACAGGCAGTAGCTGCGCGTGCTTGTACAGAGTGAGCATCTCACCTTCAATCCTGATGGGATCGCGACGCACGACGAAATAGTCCAGGAAAAAAGTCATCGTCTGCGGGTGTTGTCCACTGTCAGAACGCTTGCCTGCAAATGCCTGCTTTGACGCTGTTCAGGTCTAATTAAAAGTTCGCGCCCGCAGCCTCGTGTCACCTCAGTGAGTCTAGCCTTAGGCGCCTAGTCCCTTGGAGTCGCCATGGGTCCCACCAAGCACCCGTCTGCGTGGCGGTTGAACAAGGCCGAGGAAAAGTCCGTGGACAGCGACCTGGCTGTTTGGGAAGCAAGCTTGCCTGTTGGTCTGAGTCAAGAGGAGACCCTGTTGAAGCGCAAAGAAGAACGGAAGCGCTTGGTCAGGGTAATCCAGGAGCTAAGCACGACGCCAGTCTGCAGAAGCAGCAGAATGCTGGAGCAAAGATCAAGGCAAAAGCAGGTCAGAAGCCTTCAGCAGCCAGCGAAAGTCAGGCCCCAGTTGCTGCCGAGACTTCTACCACCACCACGTCCACGAACTCTGAGTACTACGAGTGCGTCAAGCAAGACATGGCTGTGATTGAGAAGGTTCTGGGTTCTAAGCTGAAAAATGCCCACGCCCATTGCAGCCACGATGAATGAGAAGACGGGTGTTCAGGACCATTTTTCATAAATGCAATTATGTGAAAACAATGATTTATCCTAGCTGGATTTTTTAAACACCCTTAGACTGCATTCCAGGATGAGTACCAGCTCCAGAAGGCCAAGGTCGCTTTGGAAAGCCATGGCAGTTACATTTGCAGCTGTAACATGTATTGGCTTGACAGCTGGAAAAATCCAGCGCCTGGAGTTCCACTGTCTCGTGCTCGTGTCCAGCAGCTGGCCTCCTTCTACTTCCCAGAGAACCGCAGCAACAACTTTTTCCAGAAGCTCGTGGAGGTTCAGGTCGATGCGGCTACCCTGACAGACAAGCCTGCTGGTCTGGTTGTGATTTCCCCTTTGGAGATCCTGCACGCTATTTTCTTGAAAGCCGCCGAGGACCTTGGAAAGGCAGGTGTCACTGCAGCGTGCAAGACAGCTTGGAAAGAAGCCTTGACCTTTGACTAATTTATTCTTGCAAGTATTCTAAACAATTTTCAACAACATAGTTTTAAATGATCAACAAGTCCAGGAGCTCACAGACTAATCGTATGTGGTTACGTGACTTAGTCCGAGGACAGCTGTGCCTGTGGTCATGGTGGCCATTCCCGAGGGCGACGTTTGGATCCACGCCCTGAACAAGCGACAGCTGGTCCAGCAGGAACACGAAAGTCTCACCAGAACAGCTTGGCAGAACGCAGCCGAGTTGTACCACCTCCAGGCTGTCAAGGGATTTGGTAAAAGTATATCTATCATTGTATCATCAGTCATGGATTCTTTTTAATGTTATGTCAGGCCCTGATGGAGAAGATCGAAGGCAGGAAGCTGTCCGAGGCCGAGGTCGTGCAGATGCTGAAGAACAAGCACCTTTTGACCGCACAGAAGGGCACAGGCCAGTCGGCTGTGGACGTCTCCAACTACTGCGAATGGAATTTCACTGCTGCGAAGACAATCTTCTCCAAGCTGCACTCTGACCAGGTGATCAGCGAGATTGTCCAGAAACAGGAGGCCCTGAAAGCTTACTCTTGTTTCAACAGCTTGGTGAAGTTGGAGAAATTGGCCCAAAGACCCAGTTGTGTCGCATCTCGTCGCTTCATTTTCCAACTGATCGATGACATGCTTTGCCACGGAATCCTGAGAGACGAGGACCTGAGCAAGAAGGACATCATTGGTTCTGGGAGCAATGTTGGGCTCATCCACCTGTTTGAGTTCAAGTGGCGCAGCCTCACCTACATTCTGGACATCATGTGCGTGCAAGCCAAGCTGAAGGACGCAGACCGCGTTCTGCTCAAAGAACACCTACGCGACCCCAACTCTGCCCGGGAGAACACCGTTGTGAGAAGTTGTGAGTGTGAGTTGGCAGGCTGCTTTGTCAAAGTCGTGCCTGGAAGCCTTGACCTACGTTCAGGATGTGGTCTTCCTGAAGACCTACGACAACTTGATCAAGCAAGCCATGAAGCCCAACTCCCACCCGGAGATTCTGAGTGAGATCGAAACTTTGCAGGAGGCGTGGAAGCAAATCTGCAACCTCAGGGAGAACGAGCTGGCTGAAGAAAAGGCGGCCTTGAAGAGCATGGAGGACAAGAGCGAAGAGGAAGCAGAAGACGACCCAGCGACCCAAGGCCACGAGTCCCTTTTGAAGATGGTCAGAAAGACTCCCAACACGCTGCCGCAGGGATCGCCACAGTATTGGAAGTCTGTCGCGAACCAAACAGTCAGGATGTATGTGACTTTTGTGCAGGAAAGCAATACTCCTGCCATGCAAATCACTGCGCTGGAGCAGCTCAACCTTTCCCCTGGTCCACTTTGACACGAGTTTGCTAGGCGAAAGCACTGGTCCAGGCGCTCAAGAAGGCTTGAGGAAGGTCTGGCGTCCAGATGAGGCAGTCGTGCAGAAGTTGTTTGGCTCCGCCCTTGTTGCGCTGGGCGCCCAGCAAGACAAGAGCGGCAAGTGCACGTCGCCTGGTGAAGGCGTTGTGGCTGCTATGATGGACCCTCTGGGAGTTCTTCCGAAGACCTTTCTGAAAGATGCCTGCAGCCAAACTGTGTGGATTTGCTTCAATGAGGCCCAGCGAGAGTAGTTCATAAAAAGAATTTTCAATTACCATCCTCGAAATCCCAAAATAGTAATAATAATAGGTAATGTATGCATGATCACGCGCATCCTCCTTGCAGGAAAGCATCCGGGCAAGGAAAAAGAAGGTCAGAGGACACAGCTACACACAGCGTTTGGAACTTTCCTTGTTCTCAGACAAGTCTTTGGGCGTCGTCCTGCCAGAGAAGCCTCGCCAAATCTACTCAGGCTGGTCCTCGGGAGACGCTATTGCCTTTGTCACAGCGCTTCCCACGTCTCAGCTGTGGAAGTTGAGCAGGACACAAATGCCCAACATGTTTTTTGTTTTGAAAGTTTCATTGGACCAAACTTCTGGCTCCCCTCTCTGCCAAAAGGAAAGACAAGGTGGAGATGCTCAGCGCGAAGAGAACTGTCACGGTGGAGGGCAACAAGAACGACGAGGAAGAGACTTGCTTCAGTTGCAGCTTGGCACCTTCAGAGCTCTACATGGAGTTGATTCACTCCTACTGCGCCACATGCGTGGTTGATGCCTCGCCTGCGCAGGGTGAATTCCTCAAAGCTGCTTTGTCGACCCGAACCAAGGCAGTGGCGATTTGTGGAACTGAGAGCCATTGCGCTCGTTTGGAACTGCTTCTCACTGAGTTCGTCTTGGCCGAGCTGTGCCGTGAAGGTTCTACCTTTTACCGCCCCGACTCCGTCAGCAAGGACGGCGACGAGGAGGAGAAGAAAGCGGATGAGCCAAAGAAGAGAGCTGACTCCAAGAAGAAACCCAAGAGAGCAGCTGAAGACGAGACCCAGGTAGCCAAGAAGAAAGCGCGCAAGCCCAAGGCCGCTGCTGAAGAGGAGGAGCAGGACGAAAGGGAGGCTGAGGAGCCAAAGAAGAAGTCCAAGAAGACTAAGAAGAAGAAGGAGGAGCCAGAGGCTGAAGAGGGTGACGGCGAGTCCTCAGACCTTTGGGGATGAGGCTTGGGTAGCAAATTGCGATTTGCTGGGGCTGTCGACTTCAGTGAGTGAGAAACATTGAATGGGTCGACAAGTTTTTGCGATTGCCCAACAGTGGCTCTAGGGTGTCGGGATTGCTGCTTTGGCCACGTGAAGCCATTGAATCCAACCATTGCAATCCTGTTTCAGACCACGGTGACAAAAAAACGTTTCTCAACCGCTTCTGTCCACTGCTCACTTAGTGTGCCTGAGCTTATAGCTTGTCAAGTTGTCTCCTTCCAGCGTTGAGACCCAAAAAGTGTTAACGTGTGACCTTTGTCCTGCGCCATGGCTGCTCCCCAGGATGCTCGCACTCTTAGACAGATGGAGGTCTTGCTCGATGTGACGGGGATTGCCTCTAAGCTGAGGTAAGGCTATTTCCTACCTTAAGGTTCTCAGGTAAAATCCTGCCTTTAAGGTAAACAGTTTCCTGACTTATAAGGTAACTTAAGGTTATTTCTTAAGGTTATATGTTAAGGTAAAACATTTGGATAACCTTAAGGTTGTGCAGTTTGATGGTTTGATTTGGTGTTAGAATCATTGGAAATGCTCACAGTTTCCATGCTTGTGAATGTCTGATTTCTGCTCAAACCATGTTGTGTTCATCATTATGCAAAGCAAACATGCTTTGGAAAAACATGTTCTGTGTTAGGGATCATGTGAGTTCAATGTTGGATCCAATGCTAAATCTTTTGATTCCATTTCTCACAAAGCAGGTGCCACAATGTTTTTTCCAAACAAACATGTGTGCCATCATGTCTTTTTTGGGCCAAATTAAGTAACATCCTTGACATTCTAAGTAACACCATTCAACTTTTGGCCTTGGAAGCCATGGCCTTGTCAGTACGAAGGCAAGTAGCTGACCCCAACATTGGCATCAAGGAGTTGATGCAAGTGTTTCAAATTTATGTGGTGCAATGCAACAATTATGATTTTATGGAGCTGGTCAGTTGCCCTCGCCAGTATACTTGGTCTTGGAAGACATCACCAAATGCAACTTGGATGTTTCAAATTCACAGGTTGGTCAACAGTCTTTTGGGTGTGGCAGCAAATGGGGTGCTGCCAGCAGCAAAGGTCAAGCAAGCATTCATGAAATTGTCGGAATCTATGAAAATCAACCAGACCAAATCTTCCACTGCAGATTTTGCTGACAAAGTTGATCAAAGAATCAGAATTGTGATGGCCCAATACAGGCAAGTCAAAACCAATCCATATGAATACCAAAGGCTGATGAAAAAAGCAACACCTGAAGAGAAAGCTGCCATAGATAAAGTTTTGAACAATATGTTTGTGGAGGCACCAGCAACAAAGAGTCCTGCTGTTGCTTCTTCTTCTGAATTGGCAATGGTTCCTTTTGGTGCCTCTGCTAGCAAAGAAGCTGGCCCCCAAGAGGTGGTGGTTGCACCTTCTTCTAGCTCTTCTTCTACAAGCTCAAAGACAGGCATCTTCAGCAGGATTTTGGCAAAGCAAGACAGCAGCCCTTCTTCTCAAAAGAAGGTCCAGCACTTTGTTGTACTGGCAGCCAAAGCAGCTCCAAGTGAACCAGCAGCCAGAGCTGCTAGCCCAGCCAAGCTCCAAAGGAAAAATGCATTGTTCCAAGATAGTGGCGGGTTTTGTGTCCCAGGTGATGACACTGCTTCTGAACTTTCCATGCCTAGCCCTATGAAAAAGCAACCCAAAAGGAAACAGTCCAGCTCACAAGCAGATTTGTCCACCAACAGCAAGGAGAAGAAAGGCAAAGCTGCAGCTGCTACTGTTTGCAAAGGGGACTTGTCAGATGATGACCTGGAGTTGGTGGAGAATGCTTTGGAGTTACCTATTGGTGTTTCCAAGGCAGGAAATAAAACCAAAAAGAAACCAGCAGCTGCAAAAGCTGTTGCCAAGAAGAAACCAGAGAAGAAGAAAAGCAAACAAAGTGAAGCTGGTGAGAAAGGAAAGAAGGATTCAAAGAAGGGTAGCCCAACCAAGAAGGGCAACAAAGACAAGGGAGGTTACACAGCCTCTTCTAAAAAGCAAAACAAATCAACAAAAGCCACCAAATCATGCCAAAAGAAAGGGAAGAAGAAAACAACTTTCAGGCACAGGGCCACCTCTGCAGCTTACCATACTGCCAAAAAAAGAGCTCTCAAGCAAGGGCAGTCAATCGAATGTGCCAGGGCAGCTGGCAGAACTGCCAGTAGAAAGGCTGCAGAGGACATAGATTCTGGCCTCCTCAAGGACCCAGAAGAAAACAGTGATAAAGAATGCTGATTTGCAAGCCAGAGATTATTGCTCCAACATTTGACTGCACAGGTAAAGGTTGAGAAAAAACGTGCTGCTTTTGATTCTGCTGTGCCAGTTTGGGATTGCAAATCTGCTGCTGGTGGCATCAAATGTGGCATTTGTTTTTCCCTGTGTCAAGAATATTCTTGCTTCAGGATTGTGACACCTTGTGCTTAAATAACATTCCCTGTCTAAGTGGCATGTCAAACTCTAAGTAGCACCTGATGAATCTAATAGGTAACATCTTGTGCCTAAATGACATTTTGTGTTTAAGTAACATCTTGTGTCCAAAAAACATGTTGTGCTTAAGTAACATCTTGTGCCTAAGTAATATTTTGTGCTTAAGTAGCATCTTGTGCCTAACTAAGATCTGTGTCTAAGTAGCAAGCAACCCCCCTCTTCTTCTGCCTAAGTAACACTCACCTGACTTTTTGTGCCTAAGCAGCTCCAGGCTCAAAGAAGCTACTCCAGCCCTTGTTTGTTTTGTGATGTTGTTGCAAGCAACAGAAAATTGTTCTTCAAACAATTGTATTCCCAAGGTCCTAAAGCATGTTGAAAAATAGTAAACACACAGATGAGGCCACATGTACATTTTTCTGTGTCACTGTTCCCTTGGTCCACCAATGGCTCTTTTCAAGCTCTACATTGGTGGTGTATGGACTGGCTATGGCCACAATGAAGTGGCACAATGGCTGTGGGAGAGTACCAGCATACAGCCTCTCAGCATTCGGTTGTATTCAAAAGGGGCTGATGCAACCAAGCAATCAGCCTTTGTTGGGTACCCCACTGAGGGTTTGGCTAGGCAAGCTCTGGCCATTTTGACACAAAGGCCTTCAATGTGGGGAAGCAGGGTTACAGTGCTGTGGTCCAGGGACAACCCCACCACTACTGCTGATCCTGATAAAGCTACAGCCCCTGCTGCTTCACCTTCTTCAACTTCCAGCAGGCTTCTTGAATTTGGAATGCAAGCTGGCCCAAGCTTCAAATCCTTTGCAGACAAAGGTGTGCAAACTGCCCCAGAGGCAGCACACCAAAAGGATGAAGGGTTACAATGTGGCCAACCTTTTGCCCAAAGGCAGGATGTACAGATTTCACCTGGCCAAGAAAAGGAGCTCTTTCCAGAAGTTCCTTCTGAACAAACTGTTTTGGTGACACCCACTGAAAGGGCTTGCTCTCCAACTTGTGGTGGCACCACTGGTGGCTCACCAACCAGCCCCACTTCAGAAGCTCCAACAGCAGTGGGTGAACTGGCAGAGGGAACTTGGCAAATGGCAAAAAGGGTCAGAGAATTAGCTGCAGCTGAAACTGGGCAAGGCAGGAAAAAGCTGAAGACAGAAGTCAAAAGTGAGAAGGCTAGCAGCTCAGACAACTAGCTGGCTGTGGAAGCAACGTATAAAAAGGTGTGCTTGCTGCTTACCATGTCAAAGTGGTTTTGGGCAGCTTTGCACAAGCAAGGGAATCATTCCAAAGTATCTGTGCAGCTCAAGTAGCATGTTGACTAGTAACATGTCGACTAAGGTAACATGCTGACTATGTAACATCCAGTGACAATTGTTGGCATGACTCAGGTAGGCCAGCACCAGGTTGGAGACTGTTGCTTGGTTTGTTTGGCTCAAGAGGTGCATACACAGCTTTCTTTGTGACCCACTTGGTGGCTGTTGTTGCTGAAGGCTCCCTGCCATGGACCTCAGCAGCTCCACTGAGGAAGAAAAAGCAGCCAGTTTGCAACACATTGGCAGCTGCCATGGAAAAGGTGTGAGAAACAAAAACTACCATGGCTACACCCAAGATGGTGATGGCAATTTGGTCAGGAAGAGGTGTGCTTGTTGTGACCTTGAATGCAGGCTTTGCAAGGAATGGGCACTGCAAACCCTGAACAACACCTTGAACCAGAGCACAAGGCCACCAATGAAAGCGCCACCTATGGACAAACACCTGGTCATGGTGTACTTGGGCAGCTTGGCAGCATGATTTGATCCAATACCACAGCAGCAGCATTCCTTTAAGTATTTGTTTGAATCACATGTGTCTATGTAACATGTATAGGAAATGCATGTTACCCATTACCTTGAGGTAACATTGCCTGACAAACATGTTTTCCAACAATTGGCAGCAAACCATACCATTTATTTTCTAAGTAACATGTACTACTTAGGTAATATGTATTTAGGTAACATCAGTTTGCATTTCTCTAAGTAACATATCCTTAGGTAACAGTCTAAGCAATATAGTCTTGATCAACAGTTTGGCCTGGGTAACATTTATCTAGGTAACATTGATGTGGGATCAGCCATCCCTGGTTTCAACCGGTGAGAAGGGAACAGTGAAGAATGAAACAAAAGGAAAAGGAGGCAGGACACTCACAAACAGAATATAGATGTGATTGAAGCCATGTATGTTAATTCACTGTTTCAAGTGGAAAGATTCCAGGCCATAACCAAGGATACGTACCAAAACATGGAGGCAAAGGACCATCATTGGGTAGTTTATCTGCAGTTTTGTTTCTTCAATGGTTGCATTGTGTTTCATCTTGGTACTTTTTGCAGGACCTGGGAAAAGTAAACAAGACTGGTTTGAGATGGAGCAATACATGTCCATGATGGAGGAAGAAGGACTGGATTAGATTGTTCATATTTCAAGCTTGTTTTCGTTACTTTTTTGTTTTTGCAGGAGGTTTCATGCCCAGTGAAGGCTCCAGCTCCACTGAGAGGACTGGTGTTTCAAATCTACATTGCATTCATTGTTTGTTCTCTTGTCTCTGGTGTTTGGTGGCAGGACCAGCTGAAGATGACTGGGAGCTGCACTGTCAACAGCTGTGCAAAATGCAGATCTACCTTCAGTGTGCTTCATACTTGGGAATTGGATCAAGTCACAATCTAGTTGAATAATATCTTCGGTTTGGGCTAAATTTGATTTGAGAATAATTTTGTAGAGAGTTTCAACTAAGTAGCATTCTAGATAAGTAATATATTGTGGCTGCAAAATATTGATTTGTTTCTATGTTGGAGTTGAACTAAGTCACAACTTGTGTAAGTAATATGTAAACCTTGGTCTGGGTTCACATTGAGAAGTTATGGGTTAGCAGGTTAAGATGGTTCTGGGCTAGGTCGCAATTTTGAATTGTGAAGCTTTGGATTCATATATTTCCAAAAAGAAACCCAAAGAAAAAGTAAAAACAACTGTTTTTCTTGATTTTTTTGATTGATTCTTAGTGTCACTTTGGTGTCACTTTGGTGGCTGTTTGGTGGCACTTTCTAAAAGTGACACCAAAGTGACATACCCTAAGTGTCACTTTGGTGTCACTTTCATAAAGTGACACTAAACAGCCACCAAAGTGACACCAAAGTGCCACCAAAGAGACACCAAAATGGGACCAAAAACACACCAAAATGATATTCAACTTTGTCAAAAAAACAAACATTTGTGGCATTAAGGTCACCAAAATAAATTGGATTACCAGCCATGTATGTGGGTGCTCCTGTTTCTGAGAGGTTGCTTTGCCAATTGTTTGGCGCCAGTGTGTTAGGTTCAGTTGCAATGATTCAATATGTTGGTGGCACAATTAGCATGTGTGTTTACTTTATAGTTGCATCTGTTCCTTTTTGACACACTCATACACACCACACACATGGCACAATCCAGTGCCAGGTTTTGGTTTCGCCAGCCAAAGTACCACCTAGGGTTTGGACAGTGTTTTTTTAATCAAGCATATACCATGTAAGTAACAATGCTAGCAAAACAAAGGCAGAGATAGAGCATTGCCAGGCAAAACACCGCAGTTTCACAATTCAGTTTCACAATGGCTCCAAAAGCAAAGAAAAGGCCAGCAGCCCACAAAGCGGCTGCTACAGAAACAACAGTTTTGGCAATTGCAGATACAGAAGTGATGGAGAACAATGAGGATGACAAACAAGAAGAGGACAATGGTATACAGGAGGAACATGGGGAGGAAGAAAATGAAACAAAAGCAGGAGAAGAGGAAGAGAAGGAGAATGAGGATGGAACAACAAAGCCAAAGACAGCCAAAACAAACAAACAGAATAAGTTATACACCAAGCCCAAGGCAAAGGCTAGTGGGAAAACACTCAAGAAAAATATGAAAAGGCCAGCAAGCAAAGGCCAAGATGATGATGATGAAAAGAAGAAAGAAACTTTGGCTGCCAAATGTGAAAAGTGGCAGCACCTTGGACAGCAAGGAAAAAGAAGGTTTGCAGAGGATGAGGAAGAGGAAGGAGAAGATGATGATCAAGACAACACAGAAGAGAAGAGGCACAGAGGCAAAGCAAGGAAATTTAAGAAGATGGCAGATTCAGGTGCCATCCCAGACCATATCATGCAGATATTTGAGAAAGAAGCTTCGAAGCACCCCAAACCAAGGAAGTTCAAGTCTGACCTTATTAACAAATTATTCAAAGAAGATGGCAATGGTGGCTACACTATGTGTGCAGATGACCCTTGGTTCCAGCAACAGAAGGAAATGCTTCATAAGAAGTATGGCAGAGATGAGCACCAGGGAACACCAAGAGATGTCTTTGCCTACCAGGTTTTCCATGGTAATTTTGACGCTTTGGATGCAGCCATTCAGAGAGGCTCAGTTCAACAGTGGGACCAAGATGGGGTGGAATTCTGTGGGTACAGAAAAACAAAAGCAGGAGTTGCAAATGAAAAGCAGGAAGCTACCAAGTTTGGTGGAAAACAAGTGCAGCTCAAAGGCAGCCAGTACCAGGCACTCAACAAGGCATTCAAAAGTATGTCTTGGAATTTCTCCGACCCTCAGCAGAACACATTGCCACTTGGAAATGGTGGTGCCAATTCTTCTGGATCAGGGAAGAGCAAGCCTATTGAAAATGCAGGTTTGACCAAAGAAATGATGGAGACATTGGCAGAAGCAAAGAATGCACATGAGAAGCTGCATTCTACAGCAATGAAGTTGCTCCACAAGTGTTCCTGCCTGGATGACAAGAAAGAATTCAAGGCAACAGTCATTGCTTTGAAAGATTGGTCTTTGAAGAATGACAGCATTCTCACTTGGCAGGCTTGGCTTTTTTGCTTGCTATAACACAAGATTCTACATATGGACATGGCAACTTGGCTAATTATGTTTCATGTTGTGTTTGTGTGTTCCTTGCCTGCCAGGAGCTCCCAGATGAACAAGCTCTGACACCTACAAATTTTGGAGTCTTTATGACTGAGCAGGCAGTAGCAACCAAGAAATTGAACGAAGAAGTGGAAAAATTCAAGGCTTTGTTGAAAACCAGGGGTGAGCTCTGAATGGAAAATGTACAGTAGTCCATAGCACGGCATGGGCCATCACCTACTTTTGGCAAAAGATGCTGTAGGTTCTTCTGCCACCTACAAATTGGTTTTCCATTTATTTATTATCAACTTTCCCAAAGCAAGACCAACCAGCTGGTATATTTGTTGCTTTACTTTGCAGGGGGGGGAGTGTGGCCCAGCAATGCTTTTTTTTAGATGGCAGGTGTTTCAGCAGAGGCAGGCTTGCAGCCAGAAAACAATGTGGCCAACTGGTAGTTTGGTTGTTTGACTTTGCTGGGCAATGGCATGAAGCAACATTTTCTCAAGTAACATCCCACAGCCACATCCTTAAGTAACACTTGTGGGAAGCATCTTTGCTAGTAACATCTGGTGGCCCCCCTATGTAACAATTTACAGTAATATGCCTAAATAACACTTGCTAAGCAACATTTTGGAAAGGTACCAAACCTCTGCAACATTTCCTCTTAGGTAATATGTCTAAGTAACATAAGGTTCCTAAATAGCATCCTGCAAGCATTTTTGTTGGACCTTTTTTGCTTGAGCAACACAAACATCCATGTTTTTGTGTTGCTGACAGTTGTGTACTGGCCCCAGCAGAATTTGATTTTCCAACAGTGCAATATGCTAATGGTGTTTGCAGCATGAAAGAATTTCTCTTTTCCAGCCAAGCATTATCTTCAGCTTTGCAGTTTTGCTTTCTCCCACTAAACCATGTCTTTTGCTTCAGCCATGGACATACCTGATGAGCCATTTAAAAAGAAAAGAAGAAAGGGTGGCATCAGGCAAAGGCTTGCTGCAGAAGAGACAGAAGCAAGTAGTACAGCTAAAAGCTTTTCATCTGAGCTTGGGACATCTTTGGTGGAAAGATGGGCTTGGGGAACAATGAGCCCCCAGGAGGTGCAATACTTGGCCATGAAATGCAAACATGATTTTCAGAATGCTGGTGCTGCTCCCCCACACGACATTGTTTTCCTTTCTTCCATGGGAACTTCAGGTGCTCATAAGCCCCTTGGATCCCAAGCCATGGCATGTATTTTTGGGTGGCCTTTTGAAACTTTTTTTTTGGTTCCTGTGTGTTTGAAGGCTTTGTCAACAAGCAGCAGCCAAGGCAAAACATGCACAAGGCTTTGCTGGGCTTTGCAAACAAAGGCTGTTTGCTGCCAAGGGTTTTCATGCCAAGCATCACTTTCAAGGCACCCTACAACAAGCTATTGCAATTCATGCTCTTGCCACATTTGGTTTTCAGCCAAATCTACCATTGCTACAAAAATGCCTGGGATACTATTATTGTTCCAAGCCAGCAAAGGCTCAAAGAGTTTTGGACATTGCAGAAGCAGCACCCTGCATTCGCAGGCCACCCAGTGTTGGCTTCCAACCCTCAATTTGCAACCAAAATGGTGCCATTAGCTTTCCATGGAGATGGCACCCCAGTGATTGGGATTGGGAAAATTTGGAGCAGGCAATTAACCACTTTCTCTTGGAACAGCCTTCTTGGAAAGGGCAGCACCAAATCCATGCAGATGCAAGTTTGGTCTTGCTTTGATGAGACTATGGTGCCTTCCACTCTTGCTGAATTTTGGCACATTCTCGCTTGGAGTTTTGAATGGCTCCGAAAAGGTGTTTTCCCAGATGTTGACCATCTGGGGAACAAGTTTGAACCCAATACATTTGATGGCCAGAAGGCTGGGGAATATCTTGCTGATGGTTATGCAGGACTGTTGTGGAGCCTCCAAGGTGACTTGGAGTACTTCACCTCAGTACTCAAACTGCCTCACTATTCTTCCAAAAGTGGTCCTTGTTCATTATGTAAATGCACTGGTGATGCATCACCAATGACTTGGAAAGATTGTCGGTTAACAGCACCATGGGTCAATTCTCAGTGGAAGCCACATGAATGGCACATGTGGGAGAACAAATCCCCTTGCCCTTTCTTCCAGCTTTTGCCAGGACTGTCAGCTGTGGCAGTCTCCTATGATTTCATGCATTCAAAATATTTGGGAACAGACATGGTGTTCCTAGCTTCTTGCTTGTGGCTTCTTTGTTACAGAGTTCTGCCTGGTGATGATCCACTTGCCAATTTGCAAACATGCTGGGCCAAAATTTCAGCTGTGTACAAAGAGAACAAGATTGCTGACAGGTATCGGGGCATGTCAAAATTATCTCTTTTTGAAAGAAAAAAAGGTGGCCCCAAGCTGAAGGGCAGAGCAGCCCAGGTGGCTTCCTTAGCAATACCTATGTTTCATCTTTGGGCTGACAACATGGATGATGGCAACATTCTCCATAAGAAGATCAAAACATGGCTCAAAATGAACATGCTCACAGAACAGATTTTGAAAGAAAATGCAGAAGGCTTAGCTTTGGAATCTGAATGCTGCTCCAAATTCAAGACAATGAGCTTTGCAATGGCACAATTGCACAGGGACTTGGCACAAAGCTATATGGATGAGGAAGTTACACTCTTTTCAGACATTCCAAAGATACACACTTGGCTGCACAGTGTCCTCAGCAGTCATGTGTTGAGTCCAAGACTTACTTGGTGCTTTCGACAAGAAGATTACATGTCTGTGCAAAGGACATTGGCAAAAAGTTGTTGCAAAGGGCTAAAAGGCCCTCAAGTCACAGCAAAGATCATCAGCAAGGTCCGAATTGCCATGCACATCCACTTGAGCAGCTTCTGAGAAAAACCTTTTTGCAGCTTTTTCATGGGAGCTAAATTCTGTGGGCTGTTGGCAATGGCACATTTCTATAGAACATATTTGGCTAATTATCAGTTTTGGTTGCTGGAAGTAACATGTCCTAAATCACATGTTTTGGCTAAGTAACATTTCCTAAGTCGTTTTTTTTGGCTAAGTAACATATGCTAAAGATCATTTTTGGCTAAGTAACATGTGCTAAAATACATTTTTTTGTTAGGTAACATGTGCTTGGCAATATTCCTGGTTCAAAAACAACATTATTGTGAAACCAAAAATGGTAAACTGTTGGTTAGCTAACTAAGGTTTTGAAGTATAACGTTAAGGCAACTTAAGTAAATAACCTTAAGGTTAAAAGGCCAATATGCTAACTTAAGGTTATCTGCTGTTCTACCTTTAAGGCAGGATTTTGTCTTAAGGTTGTGATCTCCCTTAACCTTTAAGAAATAGCCTTACCTCAGCTTAGAGGTTGCTGCCAATACCATGCAATGCATTTGCATCTTGGATGACGTCGATGATAAATTGGTGGACAAACCGCATCTGGTGGAAGAGGCTGGCATCAGCATGGGAGAGGTTCACGAAGCGATGCATATTCTGAGGCGATTGGCAGATTGCGCGGCTCGTGCCAGAGGACGCCTCCAAAACCAGTTCGAGGTGGTGCGCATGGAAGGAGCTCCAAACCCTGAGACTCGGGACAATGTGTCCGCGGAACAAGTTGCAGCTGAGCCTGAGCAGGGTGACCTGCAGTGAGACTTATAGACTTGAAGGCAAAAATGCTTGACCCACTTGGGCCAGCCATGTCGTTTCATTTTTTTTCACCTCGGCAAGTCTTTCTCCCAGCACAAGGTCTTGGTCATGTAAAACTTAACTCTACCTACTGAAAATAAATTCATTTATCAGTTGTCAGCATGGGTAAGAACAATTATTTTCTATATCAATGATGCTTCTTATACAGCCAGATGAAAAGGTAGATAGCATATGGTGGCCTTCATTCAAAAATCACCAACTATTTAAGGACATGTATGCAACTTGTTGCAACCTTACTGCATGGAAGTCAAAAAGAAAGTAAGTAAGTTCTTCAAGGTGTTTTACATACTATTTTTTAAAGCTTTTTATACAGCCAGTTAAGAAGGTTTTAACGCATGAGCCCTTAATTTATTCATTGAATAAAAATATCAGGGACATGTTTGAGCTTTTAAATTGTCGCAGCAATTCAGACGATGCTGAACAGTGGAAAAAAACGCCACACGCGCAATATTTTTCCATTGAAGTGTCAACCTTTCAATTTCTGAAAGGGCACCAGGGCACCACAACAACATCAGGAAGATAATATATATATATATATACTATATAATATATAATATTTAATTATTATGATATAATATATTATATATATACCATATAATATATTATATTTAATATTTAATATAGAAAATATAACTATACTTATATAGTATTTATGATTTGGATCTCCAGTTGTTTTGCAGAGTATATGTACATAATTAATCACATTAAATTATGGCCTTCATGTTGCTGTTTTGCACACTCTCTGAGGCTACCCTGCCATGTCTGCGCCCTCAGTTGGGAGCGCGTGGTTGGTGCCATGGATTCCACTGGTTCAGAACTGGTTCAGACACACGCAAGAATGAAACAAGAAACGTATTGTTGAGTAATTCATTTATATACATATATAATTACATATATATATACATATAATAACACATATATAGTATACATATATATATATATATATCTATATATTGATATATATGTATACACGCACCATTGAGGTTGGTTTAACTCCCATGTTCTTAGATGGCAGATGCTGTTCCTGCCTAGAAGTTTCTTTGATGCTTCACACTTTACATGGCACAGGGGTTGGCAAAAGTCCCATTTCGGGGATTTTGAACATCAGTTTCACGTATTTGTTGAATATTATATCCCCAATAGTTGGGTGATGCGAGAAATGAGGGCATTTACCAATCCATTTTTCATTGTTTTTCTGAGCATACACGACTTGCAGCATAATGTTCCCTATTTCAGTAGCAATCTACCTGGGACCCATTTGCTTGACCGGGGTATGGTTGAAACCACCAAGAAGATCATTTCCATCGCAAACACTGGCTTTGTTTTGTTACGTTTTGTTACCATGGGGGTTGGGGTTGTAAGTGTGGATATAATATATCACCATAATCACAAAGGGGTTATGATTGCCAACTTTTGGAGATTATCACGGTGGTTCAATGTGATGTTATATGACATATCCATTTATATCAGACGATTCAATGTGAACTTGTCTTTTTTTGATTCCCTAAGCGGTGTTCGAAACCGCTGTTGGCTGATGATTGACAAGAGTGGTATACTGTCCAACATTAACTGCGGACTATCATCATACATTATAAGGAATATATGGGAATTAAGCATTATAGGAATCACTATGGGAATCTATATAAGCAATATTAAGCAATATTAAGCTATCTTAATGTCATCCAACATACATTATAGGAATATATGGGAATCTCATTCTTAAGCAACCCGTATTTCTTGGAGTGACATTGCAGGTTTAGACCACACCGCAAACCGGCTCCTTCGGTAGGACGAGGATATCAACCAGCAAGGCAAAGAACTCAATATTGATTTACTCGTATCAGCCAGCGTTCACCAAAACAAGTACCCTCTGGTTGTGTCAAAATAGCTATTGAAAATGACCCATTTATAGTTGATTTACCTATTAAAGATGGTGATTTTCCATAGCTATGTTAAATTACCAGAGGGTATGTTTCAAATGTTGGATTGGTACAAAGTCTTTGGCCCGTTATATTATTATATTTGTTGGCTTCTGTAACTAACGATTGTTACATCCGCAAAGCCTAGTTCATCAAGTTAACTAACAGGTAGACTCAATGGACACCAGAACTTTCTTTTAGCATGTTAGCATGTGGGTTAAACCCATAGTAAACCATAGTAAACCTAGTAAAACCATATGGTAAACTATCATATAGTTTACCATATGATGTTTCATGCATTAAACCATGGTAAACCCATTATTGTCCCATGTTTATCCCATATTCACCCATATTTTCCCATGAATATCCATTGTTTGTTTACAGTCGTTCCTAGAAACGCAACTCTGCCGGTTAGCTCAGGCCTTCCTCCTTCGGAACAGGCAAGGGAGCGAACCGATGGCCGATGGAACCGTTCGAAGATTCATGAAACCATCGAGTGAATAATGATTAGAAATTGCAGATTCCTGGGACAAAATAATTATTTTGATGAACAAATCTGAGTTAAGCAATTAATGATTTTGATGAACAAATCTGAGTTAATGATTTGAAATGTGCTTTTTTGATGAACAAATAAATGAGTTAAGCATATTTAAGCAGCAAACATTTGGGATGTAACCAGCAAAGAAATGGGGGTTTATTTGGATCAACGTTGAGGCAATTAGTTGATTATACATTGAAATTGGATTTGACTTTTAAACCATCAAAACTTGACAAGTTTTGAGAAGCAAACTACTGGTGTTTTACCAGCAAAAAAAGGGGTAAACCCACTAATTAGTGTGTTTAGTACATGTTGCTTGCAGTATTTTGCTCTTTTGATAGGCATGTGCTTTTATTGGAAAATGGGACTCTCTCTCTCTCTCTGAAATTGTCCATGAAAAGCGACTTCAACCAACCACAGCACGACGATTCGGTGGCTTTATCCCAATCACTGTTCCTGGTCCCAGTCATTTGTTGCTTATAACTATATGGGGTGGATGGAGCAACAAATGTATACTATACGACCCAAACATATTCATTGTTGCCGTCTTATCACTTGGATGTGCTTGTTGTAGGTATTGGTTCTCAGAAATCCTTGTTACTTCGTCCTCAAATCATCCACTCACCCGTAGGAAAACCATTGCATCCCAGGATTTTTCTGGAACCCTGTAGGATGCCATAGTCCAAAGTTGGATTAACAACGAAGGATGATCATCAATCCATTGAAAATATATAATTGAAAATAGCCATTTCAATTGCGTTTCCTATGTAACTAATAGACCCCCAAGATGCCAAAGATGCCGCATGAGGCCGTGTTTCCCAGGTTTTTTTCGTGTTTTTTTCCATGGCCGGTTACCGGGGTCACCGGGGTCACGGGACATGGACATGGCTCAGGGTCGATCGATACGTCCCTGATGAAGATGACCATGCAGGAGGGGAGATCAAAGGACCCAGGTGTGTGGCGATCTAGCCTGGTTGGTGATTAGTTCAGGGACTGACCTACCCGGCCTGGTAAACTGTTACAAAAAACTATGGAAAGATCCACCATGCTATTCATGGGAAAAAGCACTATTTCGACTGGGCCATTTTCAATAGCGAACTGTTAATTTACCAGAGGGTAGGTCAATCTTAGATGGCTACAAACTAATCCATACTAATCCATACTAGTCTTTTGGTATCAATGGGAATATCCACGTTCACCAGCAAAGAATTTCTATTTTTTTTGCAGGGTATTATTAAGGATTATACATACATAGATCCTAATTAGTTGATGATTAGTTGGGGGATTGTACGGTTCCCAATAGATTGGGAATTCGTCTCAACCAGCCGTGGCAACACAAGGTCCAGAAGGTGGGAAGAAGGACTCCTCCCTTTCCGTGTGTCATCTGTCATCAAGACACAGGGTCACCAACAGAAGTATGACTCCTAAGGATGTGGGCCCGAAAATCAGTTATGAACTGGTCGTTGAACTGTACTCAACTGCGAAAAAAAGAGTAATCTGACGATTTTTCACGCAGTCCCACCAAAATACGCAACTGGACGAGCTTGAGTTAATAATTATATATATATGTTATATGTTAATATACTGCTAATGCTTGATATAGATCATGGATCACTTGAACCTAGGTGACGCCGCTTTATACAGAGACAGTTGAGCACGAAATGCATCTAATGGTTTGCGCAGTTGTTCGATGAGAAGCAGATTGTGGAGGTTTCTGCCTTTTATGAGTGAACCAGCGTCTCTTGAAGTCTAACCAGTGGTGCAGCGGGAAGTGCAACACGAACTTCACAGATTCTGGAAGCTCAAGGGATAGCTACGTGTCTCACGATAAGTACAGCAGGTTTGTACCGGCCAATTTTAACACTGCTCATGTGGGTGCTTGCAACGGGATAGATTTGACCAGCATTGAACGGAGGGAGAAAGAGAATGAACCACAATAATAAACAATATATTTGGAGGTACCTAGTAGGTTCATATAATAATAAACCATAATAATAAACAATATATATCTGTAAACCTAGGCTTGTCTCACAGAAGTTCCTTTGTGCCAATGTCCCATTCTATGGTGCCTCACCAGTGAAATGGCCCCTGATGTGTTGTGATTTGGATATGGATATATAATATATATATATATATGGGTGATATGGGCCACAATCTGTGTACCCTTTTGTTCACATCCCGAAAAAGCATAGAAGAGATCGTTTGAGGGATTTTCAGGGCATATTTAGTTGAAAAATGTGTGATAGGAATCAGATACAGCCATCAGAATAATACAATATGTATAATTATATATAATATTGTATGTATAGTATATATATACATATTATACATAATGTATAAATATGTATAATAAATCTCTATATTATATATATATATATATACATTATGACGTGTGTACATGAAACTACTATAGCTGGGTGTGGTATGTTTTTTTCTCCAATTTTAAGAAGACCAGCTGGCGCATTCAAGCAAGGACATGACCTGTCTTCCCTCGCTGGTCATGTCTCCAATGTTTGTCGGGGAAAAGAAAATCGAAGATTCACCACTCAGATGCAGATGCGTGTATATATATATATATACATATGGGTATGGATCAATACCTATTAATACCATTTTTAGGGGGATGAACATCCATTTACCAGCTATTTTGATGTTCACCAGGGGTACAAGGTTTTGACCCATCCCCATATATATATATACATATATCTATAAATGGAATGACACCACGGGATTTATTTCACACTGCTCAAGTTACTTGGATATAGCCAGTCCTGATGGGAATGCCCAGCCCATTTTCAGATTTAGATCAACGCATCCCATGTAACGCAAGACCCTATGGGAATGGCACCTCAAGAAACGCACGCACCGCAGGCCCCAGTTGGGGATAGTTTATGGCCTTGGGTCTTCCCTAAGTAAGTATCAACTATCTAACAAAAGATGATAACTTATTAAAACAAGAACTATTATTATTGGATATCCCAAAAAAGCCTTCTAAGATATTCTATGTACCTTCTGGTAAACTAACATAGCGAACTGGAAAATCTCCATCTTGATAAGTAAATCAACGAACGATTTCTATGGGCCATGTTTCCAGGGCACACATGTGATTTTTATTACCAGTGAGGGTGTATCCCTTAATTAAAGTCCCAATAATTGTTGCTTAAATGAAATCCCTTTCTGAATCACCAGAAAAGACCATGTTTTATCCCACAAATTCGATCCCAATGATCTTTGTGATCTTTTATGACTAGCAGTATCCTCAATGTTTATCACCATAAAATTCCAAAAAGGGAATCCCCAAAAAGATTCTCCCCGTATGAATCAAACATATTACCCTCTGGTAAACGTTTACAGTTTGCGAACTGGAAAATGATCCATTTATAGATGATAAACCTCTTTAAAATGATGATTTTCCAGTTCGCTATGTTCAATTTCCAGAGGGTCATAGTCCCTCAGTGAAATACAATACTTTACCCAAACCATTATGAACCATTATTAAACATAAGCCATTATTAACCATGATTAACCACTATTAACATCATTTAAGATCTATTAACAATGAGCAATTCATTATTAATCGTGTTTAGCCATTATTAGCGATTATTGGCTATTAGTAACCATTATAAATCATTATCAACAATGATAAACTACTATCAACCATTCTACAAAAAACCATTTAGCCACTAATTAGTCAACCTTGGATTAATAAACCCTATTAACCATTAATGATAAACCACTATCAACCGGAATTTGACATTAACTGGAAAGATTAATGAGTTAATGACATATGACTATACAACCATTATATCACTAACCATGGATATATGGATCTGGGTAAATTATAATATGTCACTAACCTGAATAGTTCGGCCATTTGGGGATGATTTCCCTCAAATAAACTATGATTCCCAGGGTTCGGGAGAACAGGCTTCGGTCGTTATAATTTACCCAGAAATCTAGATATGGTTATAATATAATATAATATAATATAATATAATACTATAACCACTATTAACCATGGATATATTCACCAGGATGAACATCAACATTCTCTAGGATTCACCCAAAAAATGACGCTTTTTTGCGCAACCTCAGGATGGCTTGAGACCTGGCGGACCTGGCGGTGGCGTGGGCGGCGTTGGCGTCGGCGGCCTTGGATCCCTTGGCCCGGGACTTTCTGCCGCCTGGGATTCGAATGCCGAATTTCCGACGCTGGGACCGTGGTGAAAATGTGGGAAATGCTGGAAAAGAACAGGAAAATCGATGGAAGATCCATGGATTTTCCCGAAAAATAGGGATTCGATGAGGCTCACCGCAGTGCCAAAATTCCATCCCGTTTTTTTTTTGACTTCGCAAGAAAATGGTGGTTTTGCGATGTTTCTTCAGCACAAAAACAGAGGGATTTACTATGAAGAATTGGGATTTGCAACCAATAGTTATAGGTATATATCACCATTAAACCATAGTTAACTATAGATATATCACCTATAAACCATAGTTAACTATAGATATATCACCATTAAACCATAGTTAACTATAGATATATCACCATTAAACCATAGTTAACTATAGATATATCACCTATAAACCATAGTTAACTATATATCACCATTAAACCATAGTTAACTATATATATATCACCATTAAACCATAGTTAACTATAGATATATCACCTATAAACCATAGTTAACTATAGATATATCACCTATAAACCATAGTTAACTATAGATATATCACCATTAAACCATAGTTAACTATAGATATATCACCTATAAACCATAGTTAACTATAGATATATCACCATTAAACCATAGTTAACTATAGATATATCACCATTAAACCATAGTTAACTATAGATATATCACCTATAAACCATAGTTAACTATAGATATATCACCTATAAACCATAGTTAACTATACATATGTCACCATTAAACCATAGTTAACTATAGATATATCACCTATAAACCATAGTTAACTATAGATATATCACCATTAAACCATAGTTAACTATAGATATATCACCTATAAACCATAGTTAACTATACATATGTCACCATTAAACCATAGTTAACTATAGATATATCACCTATAAACCATAGTTAACTATAGATATATCACCATTAAACCATAGTTAACTATAGATATATCACCTATAAACCATAGTTAACTATAATATATCACCATTAAACCATGTTAACTATAGTATATCAGCCATTAAACCATAGTTAACTTTATATATCACCTATAAACACCTAGTTAACTATAGATGTATCACCATGTAACCATAGTTAACTAGATATATCACCATTAACCCATAGTTAACTATAGATATATCCCCTATAACCATAGTTTAACTATAGATATATTCACCTAAAAACCATAGTTCACTATACATTGTCACCATTAAACCATAGTTTAACTATGATATACAACCATTAAACATAGTTAACTATAGATAATCACCATTAACCATAGTTAACTATAGATATATCACCTATCAACCATAGTTAAAACTATAGATATATCACCATAAACCATAGTTAACTATAGATATATCACCATTAAACCATAGTTAACTATAGATATATCACCTATAAACCATAGTTAACTATAGATATATCACCATTAAACCATAGTTAACTATATATATATCACCATTAAACCATAGTTAACTATAGATATATCACCTATAAACCATAGTTAACTATAGATATATCACCTATAAACCATAGTTAACTATAGATATATCACCATTAAACCATAGTTAACTATAGATATATCACCTATAAACCATAGTTAACTATAGATATATCACCATTAAACCATAGTTAACTATAGATATATCACCATTAAACCATAGTTAACTATAGATATATCACCTATAAACCATAGTTAACTATAGATGTATCACCATTAAACCATAGTTAACTATAGATATATCACCATTAAACCATAGTTAACTATAGATTAGTCTCACCATTCTGCCCCCCTTTTCGCAGAGGCTCTGCTCTCTCTCGGGGCGCGATCTCCGGCACGCGCCCTTCCCCCCTTCTTTCCGCTCTCTCTCTCTCCGCTGCTGCTCGGCGAGGCGCGCCTCTTTCCCTCTTCTCTCTCCCCCTTCCTCATAAGCGCGGCCAAGTAGGCTCTTTCCACTCTCTCTTCACATCACCATTAAACCATAGTTAAGTATAGATATATCACCTATAAACCATAGTTAACTATAGATATATCACCTATAAACCTTAGTTAACTATAGATATATCACCTATAAACCATATAGTTCTAAACCATAGATTTACATCGAAAAAAAACGATTGAAATCCAGTTTCCCACTGTCCTTTTTGATGATCTACACATGGCGGATTTCATCGGGATCATCGAGAATTGCTATTGGATCAACTGGTGATGGCTAAAAAGCCAGGAGATTTTTTGTCGTTGTTGATAAATGATGATTGTTTTTATACCGGATGGTGCCCCCCCAGTTATACTGGTTGGTGGTTTGGAACATGTTTGTTTTTCCATATACCCTCTGGTAAACTGTTAAATAACTATGGAAAGATCCACCATGCTATTTATGGGAAAACTCACTATTTCGACTGGGCCATTTTCAATAGCGAACTGTAACAAATTACCAGAGGGTAAATGATGATTGGTTTTTTTCTGGTTGTCTGCATGGGACAAGCGACGGACAGTAAAGGGATATAATGTCAACCCTGGATTAATAAACCCCGTTTACGGTTGTTTAATTGGGGGGGGATACCATCAAAAAGTATCAGATTATGACTATTGGGGGAATAGCCCCTAATTACCCATATGCTCCATGTATGGAATATTTACCTACATTTACCCCAAAAACGAACCAAATGTAGGTAAATATTCCATACATGGAGCATCTGCATGGATCCATGTCTCATCCGGGGTTGACATCAATATGATCTAATTAACGGCAGACAATTGCCGGGTCAACTTTGGTTGGATCAATGTTAACGCCCGAATGGCCATTTTTGTGTGCTACAAATGGGGATATGTTAACGTTAACCATACCTACCCGGCCTGGTAAACTAACAGTTTGCTATTGAAAATGGCCATTTATAGTGGATTTTCCCATGAAAAATTGTGATTTTCCATAGTTACGTTAGTTTACCAGAGGGTAACCAACCATTTTCGTTGCAGCGTAACTATCTAAGAATTTCATAGATGTAGTTATACCTTCACACTGACCACACCTGAATAAGAAACATCATTTGCAGAATTGTTTATGTCATTTTCTTCTATGTTCTTAAACATAGCGTCATTATGATATCATAATATCATTCACATCATGACTTTATATCATTACTCTTTAAGATCTTTATATTTATCATATTTTACCCTTTGGTTATTTGTTACATAGCCATGGTATAGATGGCCCATAGAAATAGATGGTTTACTGTTCTTAATAGCATGGGTGGATTTTCCATGGCGAACTGTGAGTCATAACCAGATGGTATCATTATAACCAGATGTTAGTCATAACCAGATGTTAGTCATAACCAGATGTTAGTCATAACCAGGTGGTTATATTTATTATGTTTTATCATTACCTACAGTAACGCCCCAAACAAAAATCACTTGCCTCAGTTGCCAGTCCTGAGTCCTTCAGGATTTGGGATATGTTGGGCTTGACGGATTGACGGGATACCTTTTCCCCTTGGTCACCGAAAAGGTGTCATGAATGAACTGGGGTATAGCCACTGATCAATAGTATGTATAATGTGTATATGTATATATATATATATCAATATATATATATATTGATATTGATAAATATTGATAGATGCATTAAGAATGTTGATGCATATGAGATCGGACTGAGTAATAATCATACATGCCAGTACGATTTTTCGCAAATGGCTATATATAATACAGTATATTATAATGTTCTATGGGTACAGTATTTTCACCAATATATTACCATATGGTTATTCTATGGTATTATAAAATGGGTATATTCTATATTCTATAATATGGGTACAATGTGGGGCCCCCCAGTTATAAATTGGTTTATCAACCCCATCAACTATAGTTATAAGTGAAATAGACTATAGTTATTGTTGGAGTTATAAACCAACTTAGCTATCGTCTGGAGGCCCCACTTTGGTTGTCAAATATGGTAGCACCCGGCTATTCCTGGGATCTAACCCAAGTATTCGAACGTTGAGGACGCGTATGATGGAAGGGCCGCTTGGAATCGAAGGACGTGCCGTAGATTCCCATAGTGTAATTCTAATGACTAGGATTTCTTGGGGATATATATATATATATGATACATCTACGTTTTTAGTGGGCTTTGAAATAGTTTTTATCAACTTCAAACTGAGGCATTTCACTGGGTGATGTCAAAAGAGAGGTAATTTTAGGTAGACCGGATTTTTGAACCACGGGTCTATCCATGTTTTACAACCTGTGTAACGTGCTCCATAAAAGTCGTCTCTTTTCGTACCATAAAAGGCATCCTAGTCATTAGTCGGACTTTCTTCCGGAATCTTGGGCACTATACGGCAAGTACATTACCCTCAAGTAAATCATAACGACCTCACTGTTCTCCCGAACCCTGGAATCATGGTTAGTAAGGGAAATCATCCCCACATGGCCGAACTATTCAGGTTAGTGTTAAATATTCTAATTTACCCAGATTTACATATATATATACACACATATACAGTATATATATAATATACTGTATATATATACAGATAAATAATATAGTTTACCCACATTTACCCTCAAGGTAATGAAACGTCAACTCACCCATGACAACTCACCGATGATTTTTAGCGTTCCCGAAACCTCCGGGCTTCGGGGGAGATCTTCCAGCAATGTTGACACGAGAGGGTACGATCTATACAGGATGGTAATTTAACATAGCAATTGAAAATGGCCATTTATAGTGGATTTTCCCATTAAAAATGATGATGTTCCATAGTTATGTTAGTTTACCAGAGGGTAATCTAGATATATGTTCTGGTTGGTGGTTTGGAACATTTTTGTTTTTCCATATGGCTATGGGTCAAGTCATTAGGTACCCCAAAATTATGGATGGTTAATACTAAACTAGACATTCACATCTGTGGTCCCCTAGGTCTTCCATTTTGACCCACATCCATATATTGGGAATAATGATCATTAATGATCCCAATTGACTTTCATATTTTTCAGAGGAGTTGAAACCAGGGCTGTGCGGCTCAAACCCCCCCGTTGGTTCGTGACATTGGGGCGAGGTGTTTGGCCATAGCCTTAGTGGGCTTACCATTTGGACTGGTGCCCACGGGATCAAGCGTTTACAACTTGACCTCTTGCGGCATTCACTGTCATTTGATTGACTGACTGCTTGCGATACAACAACATCGGGCTTCTTGCATTGTTGCCTTGTAATTGACCTGCTTCTTGCATTGACCTATTCTGCACGTTGCTCTCAATTACCACTTTGCAATTCCTGGTGCTCAGCAAGGCCTCTGCAGGTGAGCCATATCACCTGGACCACAGGAGTCCCAGCTCCTAAACAACCTGGGTCATTGCCCTCGGTGCTTGAGAGTCACCCTTTTTTGCATCAACCTGGCTACCGGGACATTGGGCATTGACAGCGTTGCAAATTTTTGACAATTTTGACATTTAACTTGGGCATTTTTCACTGGTTCTGCGCTGGCCATACAGCGGCCCTTGAGTGTGGATTTGGGGGTGAGCTCCCCACAATTTTCTGACTGGCTCATTTGGTGGTTGAATGATTTTTGTGCTACATTACATTGCAGCAACACAGATCCTCTTCACCTTGGTGGCCAACTACGTGCAGTCCAATCCACTAATTTTTTGTGAACCCAACAGTTTTGACCACGATTACGCCATCACAGCGGCGTGCACAGAGGCGTGGGCGAGCTCGAGCGAGGCTCCTTTGGCATTTGCACAAAAAAGGGATCAAGACCCTCTCTCCGGGGCAACTGTCACAGTTGGTGGACAAGCTCCAACATCACCATTCAAAAGAACAGGCATTCATCGACCGCATCAAAACAGAACAAATGGCGAACAATGCAGGACCATGGAGATGCAAGACCTGCATGAAAATATGCAGCTCAACACATCAGTTTTGTGGAGTATGTGGGATTTCTTGGCACCTATGCTCAGATCCATCTTTTCAACCTCCTCCTCGACAGTCCAGGTCACAGCGCTCAGTCCAATGGACCTATGCCAACGACTGGACAGAGCAAGATTGGGAAGATCCATACTGGGATGCGTCTCAAGTCAGCGACTCGCAATGGACGAGACCTCCGAAGCCAAGAACGTCTTCCAGAAGAAAGTCCTCACGAAAAGCCAACAAAAAGGATGCAGACTCTCACAAAGGTGCAAAGGGAAAAGGCAAGGCGGCGACCTCAGAGCCGGAAAAGATAGGGCCACCTGCTTTGACAGCAAGTGCAATGGACCCGCCCTGGTTGCAATCCATGAACTCAATTGCAGCCACCATGCCACCACCAGCACAGCAGAGCTCCGAGGACAAGCAGCTGAAGACACTCATGGCGGCGCTGAAGAAACACAGCGATACACTGCCACCAGAGCTCCAAAACATGGTCAACGAAGCGGCAATCAAGGAAGGCCAACAGGAAACCAAACAACTCCATGCAGTCGTGGCGGCCCATGGACGAGCACGAAAGGAACTACAGCAGGCACAGCTTGCAAGGTTCCACCTACACAATGCATGGAGAGGATTCCTCAGCCAAGCAGTCACCCAATGGCAAGGTTACAGTGCACAATTCATGGAGCAGGAGAAGCAGATGAACGAGCGCGTCAGCTCAGCCATGGAAGCACTGGATCAAGCCAAAGAATGCTTGGCGAAAGCCAAATCCACCGCAGGGATCGAAGCAAAGGAAGATGCAATGACAGTCAGCGACGAGGAGCCCGACAAAGATCTGGCGGGCTCAACGGCAGACCGCATCAAGGAGGGCCTCACCAACCTGCAAACCAGCTTGGAGGCCTTGCAAACCTCAGCAGAACAGATGGTGGAGGACGAGCAAAAGGCACTCAAAAGGCCTCGCCTCGACCCAGCACATACGGAAGCTCCAAAACCATCCGAATCGCATGGTGGTGCTACGGGGTTTGGCTAGGCCGAGTGAATACAGTGATGGAATCTATTGCTCAGAGGCCTTTCTCACATGCGGTCAGTGTCTCAGGATGCATCCCAAAGTGGACGCATGGGGTTCTTCACGAACCAAGTTTTGTATCTGAATGGCAGGCAAACGATGCTGCGTTTCACCTAGCCTGGGAAGTTGGCACTTTGCCACCTCAAACCAGCCCAGGTTCGACCATTTGCCCAGCCACGAACATTGCCAAAGCGATCATGCCTCACCCAGTTTTGCGTAGGGAAGGCACCAAGGTTGACAGCAACAGTCAATGCCCCAAGGGTTACAGGCCAGACGTGAAAACGGTAGCCTTCTCTGAAGTCTTGTGCATTAGGATAGGCGAAGACACTTCCGATGCATTTCAGGACTTTGTCACGCATGCTGATGCCTTGTTATCTCCTTGGAAACCATGGAAGCTTCTCCCATCAACTGCTGCTGATCAACAAAATTTTGTTGATGTTCCTTTTGAACATGATAGTCCCATGTGTCACCCGCTGCAGTCGAAGCATCCGTCCTCCCGTTTTGTACAGGTGAATTCAATGCCACTCCGTGCTTCTGTACAGACCGAAGTGTTGTACGCTGCCCCTCAGGAAGCCGAACATTTTTTCACCTCATTCACCGTGCAGCCGGAAACCAATTTTGATGTTTCACCTCGGATTCCGCAGGTTGCCCAGCTTGGATGCAGTAACAGCCAATGCAGTGAACTTTGCACTGAAACATCAAACCCGGAAGCAGACGCCCATGTGCACTCAGAAAAAGTGACACCATGTCCAGTAGAGCATACACCACCTTCAACTGGCAGGCTACCAACAGGCAAAGCCTATACCAGCCGAGCAGTATCACCCGCCTGCTCTCACAGTGAGTCATGCTCGGATGTGTCTGCTGTTAAGCATCACCGTGTGTTCTTGTCAGGTTTGAGCCAGATTGACGCCTTGTTGCAGGATGTTGCCCAACAGCCGTCTTTTCTGAACCGTGCAGTGACATCATCCAATAGACATGCATTGGATCAGGTTTCACCTGCCGACCATCATGGTTCCTTGAGCCTCATCCATGAGAAAACCCATACTTTTGGGATTGACAAGCATATCAATTCAGGTTCCAGCTTGCCTCCAGTAATGCAGGTTAGAAGAGAACATGAAAGCCCGATTGCACACCTTGTGGGTCCACAGTCGGATGATGAGGACCCCAATGATGAACCCATGGACACACACAATCAGCCCATTCTCCCAGCCTTCGTCAATTACCTAACAAATAGGTTAGAAGCGCTTGGGCTTGACCCGCATGACAATGACTTCGATATGCCAATACGCACATGGTACATCGACCACCGCACAGTGCACAGGTGGACAGCACCAAGGATCCTGCAATTGGTAGGACCACCAAGAGGATGGGAGGCTCAAATACAATCCCTTTGGGTTGACCAACTCAACAATCAGGATTGGTTTGACGGGATCATTGTTGAACCTGACCCTCCTCGAATTGCACGCCATGCATTTGTGGTCTTCGACATGATTGTTACTCAGTCCCTTGAGGTACCACGTTTTGCATCCATGATCACTGTCATGCCAGGCACAGCTGACACGTTCCAAATGTACTCAGTTGCATGCTCCCTGCCAGAAGTTGTCAGTGGATATGAACTTGTCCAAGCTGCAGATGCCGGTAGATACTGTAGACATGCAGAATGCCTCATCACGTATCGCTGGATTCAAATCCCAAACACATTGAGACCCACACATCATGTTGGTCATGGCGATGGTTTTCAGATTTTGGTCCATGATCAACCCCATGTTTCTCAGACACACCGAGCTGAGGATGCCAGTTCGTCAGACGCAATCACGACCAGTCCGACGTACTCACCAGGTAGACCAGGTCAAGCAGCGTCCAGTACCCAGCCTGCCAGATTCACCACTTCCCTACACCTGTTTCAGATAGATGGAGTGGAAATCTGTTGCCAAGTCATGAATGACCAGCGCATCATGCCAACGCAGGAAATTGCAGACGCTCTGCACATCCCGCTGGATCACTTGGACGCTGTACATGTCATGCCTCACATGCCATACCAGATTCCTGAGTACGATATGGCAGCAGTTGTGCAAAGAACTGGTGACCTAGCCCATAACACCATGGACCGGTTACTATTGGTTGACATCATCTACCACCACCATCCCAATGCAGAAGGTGTCACACACAGACCCACCTTGGTTCGTGAGGTACAAAGGGTCGGCCACCAACTACTGCGTCAACACATCCTTTTGGCTGCTGCAGTCCATCACTATTGTGTCTTGATCTCGAATCAATGCGTGGTAACCCTGGATGGTTCCCGTTGGCCGGAGGACGATCACTTACCCAGACCAGTGCAGCATGGATCATACGCCCAGGTCATCGTGCCGCCACCACCCACGCATCATGTCCAGACACAGGAAGCAGTCGCTGTAGTGCAGAACACGATGGACAATCCAGAAGACATCACTGCCTTGATCGCTCCATCCAGCACTGATGAAGATGCAGCCATGCCGGAGGAAACCAATGACACAGACACTGACGCCTTGCAGATGACCCAGCTTGCAGTGCAATATCGTTCCCATGGTTACAAGCTGTCTCCAATGCCGAAAGATGCAGACCAACAACCAATATGTCTGGGTGCGGTACTGCAGCACCCTGCTGATCTGAACCCCCAGACATCCAAGGTTGCAAACACTTGTACAGACGAATCCCAACAGTCAAATCGATCCATGGTGAACACCTTGCCAACACAGCACTCTAGAAGTGCCAACAGCCATGCTGAGGGTTGCGACCAAGGGATGCAGTCAAAACCTACCTTGCCAGATGGACATGCGTCAAGCCTCCAGGCAGTTGGACCAAGCCCTACTAAAGCCAAAGACAGTGCCCTTGATAGTCATGCCATTGCTGTACCAGCCCAACAAACCAAAATTTCACGTTTCTTTGCAAAAGTTAGCAGCCGTTTGAGCACACAGCCTAACTCAAAGCAAACGAAACAGACGAAAATCAGCCAGTTTTTTCCTGCAGTATCACCAAAAGAGCCACCAGCTCACCCAGTAGATACGTCGCAGGCAGGGCTGCTTGAACCGGCCGCCCAAGATCCAGTAACTGCTGAATCAGTAACTATGGTGCCAAGTATGGGCACAGAAGTTCAACCCATCCAAGCATGCACTGGTATTTCTCATGAAGCTGAACCACCTCGCTTTGAAGCCAGGATCCCAGCACAGAACATGAACCCGAATGTGCCTCGTCCCAGACCACTCTGGCACATCGAGCTGAATGCCATCTTTCTTGAGGAAGCAGCCACTCTTCATCGGGAGATTGGCCCAGAGATGTCGGTTGAAGTATGGTATGTTCACCATACCCACATGCCGATATGCAGAGCACCAAGACTGATTCGGCTTGATGACGTCCGGGATTTATGGTACGCTGACCTTTGCAATTCATGGTGTGACCAAATTCGGCAACACCAACCAGTACGAGTGCACATCGTCAAGCCCACTCCTCCTTATCAAATGCGACGGCAGGCAGTGATACACATTATCCTGGAACAAGGAATGGTGCCCGAAAAAGCCGCAATTTTGTTCACTGCAGCCTTTCATGGAGGTACCAGAATGGGATTGCTGCAACAAGCCGAATCCTCCCCTGTTGACATTTGCACTGATCAGGTCATCCAAGATCATGCACTGCAGCCGCAATGTGACTTCCGTCCATGCCATTTGTTCTCAGGTAGGTACCGCTTTCATCCCAGCAACCGAGAACGAGTCCCATCCGGCATTAGCGTTTTGCTTGATGTTGGTGACCACAGGCTGAATACCCAGGCACGATCAAGTACAGACATCCCATGCAAGTCGACGCTCACAGTGGTCCGAGTGATGGAGACTCCAGTGCACGCAGTGACATGAGTGACACAAGCACGCTTATGCAACGACCAAGGTTCAAAGCGTTTCCGAAGCCTGCTGCAAAAGCGCGACCAGTCTCACCACGAGACGCTGAGCTGGCCACGTGGTTCACCATATATCAGCCACTTTCACAAGTAGGCCCTGACCAACATCAGCCGGTGCAAGAAGTCCGTGTACAGATCGAAAACCTGCAGGATTTTCACACAGTGCTGCAATGGCAGGTGAATCGGGCCAGAGACACCTGCATTCAGCAAGATGCCAACCGTGCGAAACTAGCCACCTGGTACCTTGAGCCCAAGATGCTCCCACGTAGTGACCATCACCGTGAGGTATTACTGTCAGGGCATCCTAACCAATGGCCTAGTGACATCTTGCAACGGTGGGCGGACTTCTTACAGCCAAATCAGCCTGTCCACCTGTATGTAGTGCAACCAGACCCACCTGGAGGTCTACCTGACATTGTAGCGCATGTCCTAGTCGTCCAGAATGCTCCACCCCAACAGGCAGCCGCACTAGTCTCGGTGACAGAGCTCATTGAAGATCCATGGCATCCCTCAAGGTTTGCACTCTTCCTTAGCAATCAAGTTACATGTGATGACCTGTTTGAACATGCCGGCATTCCGCAGGAACAGGTTGCCACCACACCTGGTATTGGTGCATACCATGGCACAAGTCACATACCTCAAGGCAGCTCATACCCCGTGCACCATGGCTTTGCCTTCGAAGTGGTTACTGACTCACTTGACTTTGAAGGAGATGAACAGGCCCTGCTCCAAAGAACCCACCAAGCGCAGGTTGTACGTGCCTCCAAGGAAGCTGTAGAGGACATGACAACCTCAGACAGCACGACCCGGTACATCCAGGGAGCAGCACAAGCAATGCAGCAGCTTTCTGATATCATTGCCAAGATGGTAGCTGTACTTGCACATAGCCCCACTCTCAGGTCACTGCCTCAGGAGGTCCGAGGGACTGATGCCGCCATGAGCCCAAAGAGGCACCAGCTGATCGTACCAGACATTGCTGCCCGGGGCTGCACAGCACAGCTGGAGCAGGTGTCCACTGACACATTGCACAGATGGCAAC